TTAGATGTCAGAACTAATTCAGATCTTTTCTTTAATTTGGATGGGCATGACTCTGAATTCCTGTCTGAAACGGTTGACATAGTGCACACCATGTATACCTTCTCCCTTCCACATCTTTCCTTGGAATTCTCTCTTCCCAGTGACCACTGTTTTGTTTAATCTACACGGTTTGGGAAAACTTATATTGGGCTCCGTTTATGATCTCAGATCAGTGTAGTTGGCCCTCGATATCTAACCGTGGCCCTGGACACTGGCAAAAATATAGCCACACTGGAAGCAATCTTCAAAGCGGATGGCACGCTTTATGTCAAGCAACGTGCTGGACACCTGTCATATGCTGAAGACCCGAAGGTACCGTGCATGTTCTTCACTTTGAACAAAATCGATTTTGGAGGTATTTTCTTTATCTTATAGAAAAAATGGTTTATGATGATGATTTGGTTTTTTGAAGCTCAGCTTCCAAAAGCTTGTTTGGTCACTTACTTCATTTGTTCCATGGAAGAAATTTTTTTGAAAGTACATCTGATTTTAAAAGCATTTGAAGGCAGTTTGTTTTGTTTTGTTTTCCATTTCTTTTATTGTAGGTTTGCCCTTTCACCAATGTACTTCTGTGGATATATTCATTGGAAGTCAGTATTATGGCAAAACCTCTGATTAAGAATAAACATCTGCCCAATGCAAAGTGCATCTTTGGATATACATGTACTTGTAGTTTGATTGCAGTACCAGCTGCTGCATCCGACTTAAACTGGCCAGCCACCGTGGAAAACTCAGTGGTCATCTGTACTAGTAAGCAGGAGGGTGTAGGTTCAAGTCCCACCCATGTATTACATCTTGTGGATTTTTTTACTTGCTGCAGACAACACTGAGTATACACTTAGTGTAAGGGCAAAATCCACTATTAAAACGTAACATTCCCCGGGCACTACATATTCTTTGGAAAAAGTTTGGTTTTCATAAATTTTAGCCCAAAATAATGTTACAAGCAGCACATTGTACCTCAAATTCTGCATACATGTAAGATGCAGTGAAGGCAGTGTCTGGCATGTGATGATCAAGGTCCAATTAAATTCTTGTCCATCACAGGGTTACAAAAGCCTGTTGGCTCAGACCTTTACCCATGATGCTTCCTACCAGCAGTCCATGGACTCAGAGGTCATCAGGTCATTCACATCTGACCTCGCCATCCTGGGATTCTCACGCCACTTCTGCCAGAGGGTTGAAGGCAACAAGGAGGTACATGTACATGTAGGTTTCCAACGGAGACTTGTGGGGCAACCCTGCAGCACCCTTGCTCCACTATTTTTAAACATAATCAACCATTAACTTTTAAATTACTGATCAACATAATTGTATCAACATATTGTAATAGTTGTCACGATAGGTTGCATTATAGTGCTTTACGTAATTAATGTTGAATAATTCACAGGAAATCAGTTTCTTCAAAAATGCGGGAATGTGTAGTTTGACTAATTCAAATGCCCTGAATGCTGCCTGACTGATTGGATTGGAATAATAATTATTAAACAGGACCAACCAATTGATGTTAGTCACATTGCTGGCTTCCATTTGCTGCAGATCTTGTAATGAGCTGGGCACTAAAGCGTTTGACCCCAGTATCATTTTTGGACCATTACATTATCATATCTGTATACTTTTTCCACACTCAGCCTCTCTACAGGCACTGGTGACACATTCTTTCTCTAAGGTCCTTAATAGAAATTCCTGCTAGCTCGGAATAATGCTCATACAGTCATGGTCGATCAATAAAGAATTAGTTTCAGGTTCATGTAAATACAGTGGTTGTAATGGCAGATCAGCTATTGGAAAAGAATGGTCGCATAAAATCGTACAGTCTTTAACATTGCAATTAAATACTTTCAGTCCAAGTACATGTATATGAAATCTTTTCAACACAGATGCAAGAGCAGCAACTTAATGCTGTAGCGATGAAATTCGCCTCCTTGCATTAATGTGTCTGAAGATGGCTGCTGTGTCATGCTGTTGCCACACTTCAGATAGGATACATACATAATTTTATTGTTATTGTGAAAACATCTGTAGCAGATTCCTAAAAACATTTTACAAAGGCAAGTCCAACTCCCTGTCAATCACTTGCACTTATTTGTGTAATTTGCAAAAAATGCATCCCCAATATATCTGAACCTGCCATCACCAGCAATACATATATATGAAATTCCTGCTTTTTCATTAACTGAAACCACTGAAGCTGGGTTTCAGGCCCCTGGGTTTAATGCATTGTAATGTAAATGAGTTTTTCGTTTCCATCTTAAATGCCAGACTTCATCAGTGGAGACTTTATTAGCATCGCTGTTGTACGAGTGCGTTACCAAGGAGAAACCATGGATACTGCAGTCGCTCATTGAAGTTCACCAGGTGATCATGAGTTCATCAACAGTGAAATTTCAAACTATATATCATTCAAACTATTTCTGAAGGTACCACTGTTACTTTTATCATGCTTTTTGTTGTACTCTGTATTACACCACCCCATATATCTCCGCCAGGCAAGGAAAAGTGCTAAAAAGTTGTATTTTACTTTCAGTTTGAGACATAAAAGCAGCAGTCAAGATGTTGATTTTTTATCATGTCCAAGGTCATTGATAGCCTTGTTGGGAGACCAGACACCCACACACTGTGGCAGGTCAAACTTTTACTAGCCTACTACAACCAAGCCCATCACAGGATAGCCACCAGCCACAAGGAAAAAGCCCAACCAAAGGGGCTGCTTTTGAATGATGAGATGTGCATCAAGATGAAGTGTAGGGTGGAGCACTGCCTGGACTCATGGCTTGCAGGTAGGGTGAAACTCATGCTAAGGAAAGTCAGTGTTTTTGAAGAAGTGGATTCTATGTTTGTTGTAGTTTGGCTCTGTGCGGAACTACTCGCTCACTAGTGACAGAGAGTTGTGCTTTTCCATCCATATAATACCATTTGCAAGCTTATGAAAAGCCACTCCACAATCATGACATTTCACAGACCTGCCAACTAGTACGATTTTGTCGTATTTTGTACAAAAAATTGATGAAAATAAACCAATACGTTTTTGTCACCGTAAAAGACGGATTTCGATAATTTTGACACGGACAGAAAAAAAGAGGGCGCTGTGTGAAATCTAAGCTAAAATAGCTAAGGTGGCTGCGAGCAAGACTAAGCCCATGTAACGCGGTTCGGTATCATGAACTCGTAAAGTAGAGCATTTGTGATTGGTGTACGCAATGTACACATGCCCCTGTAGCGCACGTATCAACCAATTGGAACGTCGCATACCAAACGTTCGGCATGCATTGTGGAGTGTACGTTCTTGTGCATGCAAAAAAATTTCCTGCCATAATCGTAAAACTGCTTGAATGAAGATAACTTAAACATCTAAAAAAGACACCCAAAAACGGAAGCAGTCTTTCTGAAGGGAAAATACGGAGATATTCGAATTCATCAGAGGTAAATACTACGCTCGCTGCACTTCGTGTAGTTCTGACTCCAGTATCGCTCATACATGGCATAGTGGGAGTTATGATGTATCTCGCCATATCAAAAGCAGTAAACACGGGTCATGCTAACAAGCGTCAACAAAGTGTCAACTAAATATTCAAGCATTTTTATACAAATATTTTATATTTACAATATTCGTAAGGCTCCTACATATCATAATCTACGTATATTATCAAAAATGATATTTGAAGGTGGAAATTCGAGTGACAAATTCGGGCCTGCTCGTGCAGCCTGACCTGCCGCCATCTTGTTTTCGCGTGGACGGTAGAGTAAAGAAAGATTGCGGCCTCCATACATTGGCCAAACAGTTTCATTTTTCAAAATTTCTGCGTATATCTGGAAGCAAATTCGGTGTTTCTTTTACACAATGGCAGGTCTAAGAGTCTCTAAATTTAGATAAAACTACTTTTAAATCCTCGGAGGGTATTTTCAAGTTGTTGATGCTTTGTTGACACTAGTTCAAGTATTAGTTGTGTTGACGCTAAATACCATGACCGGTAATCACCGCGACATCACTGAAATGAAGAATGCGACCCAAAGCACTGCAGTCCTGTCAGACTCTCACAAACAAATATACACCCTAGCCACAGCCAGGCCATGGCAGCAACGTGCACACCAAAATGAACTGTGGTGTAAATGCAAGGAAGCAACTGCTGTGAGCAACACCACGAAATTTAAGCCAACACAAGTAAAATATTACTGTTCAAATAGTATGTAGTCACGCAGAGGTACTTGTAAGCTTGTCTGTCCTGTTTGTTTGGGAAAATACGCATTTTTGTTGAAAAATACACATTTTGGAACCTCCAATACACTTTTGCGATTCTAAAGGTTAGCAGGTCTGATTTCATCCTTAAAGTACATGTGGATGATGTCGTCTGTTATAATATGCTGTGCAAAGGTTTTACCAATTTGAGTGTAAGATTGTGCCTCGGGTCTGAGCCAATTTTGCATTTCTTTTTGGCAGACAACCAGAATGCTGCGATGGCATATCTGGTTCAGGGGGCTCTTCCTCAACCCCTTGAGACCAGAAGGCAGATGGCTAAATTCCTGGTGTTCTATGACATCCCTTCCCCTCTGCAGCTGTCAGACATACCATTCCAGGGTAAGCAGGCTTAATGCAAACCTTTGATAATTTCATGGTCATGACCCTTAAACTTATAAGAGATCAGCTCTTATAAGAATGCCTTTGGAGGACCAAGAAAATAACTCAAATAGCTTTTGCTTTGTAACACACCATTAACTTTCATGCAAACAGTGATATCTTGTTGACAAGTATTTTGCAGGAGGTAATCTACTTCATAACAAAGCAACACTCAAGCGTTCATTTCAGTTGATCATTTCCCCTTGCTCAGCTTTAATGAGTGTTTGTCCAGTTCCCTTTTAACTTGTCAGCTTTTTGTTCTGATGCACTGTCCACTGGAAGACCTGAGAAAAAAGAGTTTTTCACAGTTCCTCAACTCAAAGACAATTTCAAACTCCCCTGCCTTCCCCCAATATGAAGTAGGGGGATACGTTACCCTTCAACTAAGAAAATGTCTGTGAACTCCAATGTTGCAACCAGTCATTCCTTCCCCCGCTGACAACTCCTGTCCATTGACTCATTGACAGTGTGCGACTCTCTCCCAAGCCTGTACACTGCCCTCAAGAATTTCAACCTGCCTGTGTCTGCGATGATGAAACTTGTTACAATCCTGCAAGCTGCCAGGTAACAGTCAGACCCAGCAGGAAGTCACTGTCGAAATTCCAACACACAGATTTGTGGAGTAGACACACAATAGATTTGTGCCATAGTTGTGCAATATACTTTAACCTGTATGGTAAATTCCACAGAAAAATTGCTAATAGCTATTCAGCATTTTCATTATTTTAAGTACCTTAGACAAGGATGATCACAGCTTTTATGACAGCCATCCCTTTACAGTTTTACAGCAGTTATTAAACAGATGCTGAATTAGCTCCGCCCGCCTCTTTAAAACGGTTTCTTTTCATCACCCTTGGTACACACCTTGCTGTTTTTAGCGGCAAAAAGCCTTACCGCAAACATGGTCAGTAAAATAAACTCCATTCTCGATTTACCATCTTAAATGTGTGTGTAAGGTACCAGTACTCCATAATTTGTTCAACAAATCATATAGAGATTCAGACCCTTCCCATTATGCTGTAAGGCTTCTGGACTAAAGGTCAACTTTACAGTCTTCTCCAAATTTTAAAACAAGCTGAAATTAATAAAAAATTCCTCAGATTTGTATTGGTTTTGTATGTTTTCTGTTTTGGCAGTGATATTAAAGCCAATTTCGAGACAGGAATAATTGTTTGAAGTAGTTTGTGTCATATTGTAACACATTTATGAAACCGATCAACCCTTAGGCTTGCGTCCCATCCCTCCAAACCAGCCGTAGGGTATACAAACATGCGCGAACTGAGACAGGTTTTACGTGCAGGGAAACAGAATGCAGGTTAAGAATTACAAAGGGAGGCAGTGCGTAGGAAGAAACTGTGAGGTACTCATCCAGTGAACTGGATAATACACAAAAACGCATACATGTGCTAGTTTGTCATTGTTTTAAGAATACGTGACTATATCTGATAGTCCCAAAAACTTAGTCCAAATTTGCCTTATGGTATAAAAAATACATGCTCTGAAAAATGGTATAAAAAATATATGCTCTGAAAAGGAGTCAGCGGCCAAACTGGTGACTGTTAATTTAACCTGTGGTCTACAAATAGAATTAACCTGAAAGAATTAATAAATATGTGCACAGACCTTTTAACTCTTAATATTATCCAAAACATTAACTTAAACATCATAAATTATGTGTAATCATATCCATAGTTGACCCAACAAAAACATGTTCATATGAACTTGGATAAAGGCCAAACACACAAGGAACATTCCACTCCTAAACAATGATTACATGACTCTAAATTTACTAAAGAAACCCCAATTAAGTCTTATGAAAATATATGCCCCTGCGCTTGTGATTATACACATGTAAAATGAACATAACATGATATGCATTACACTCCAAATCCAACGATTATACCCCCAGAAATCCCCCAAAATATCATATTTAGATCAACCAAATTGTACTCACTTTGTGTATCCACGCACAGGGGATATTTATAATTAATCTGGTAATTGCATAATTAAGGTTCAGGGTGATTAGGAGTATACTCAGAAGGAATTTCAGGAACAACGTGATTCGACATGGCATGATTGGGCAATTATAATGAATCAATCACGAGAGGGTGCTACGGCGCGCTGTCGTGGGAGAGACGCTTTCGGACAGCCGCCCCTAAATTTGGGCACCAAATTGATGAAGTTAGAAAGCGTTGGAGCCACTACAGTTCTCATTCAGGGCCTAATACGGATGGAACTTTGTAGTCTTTCTGGTCATCTTGGACACCTTCATTGCCAACAGCTGGAAGTCGTATCAGGCGGGCAACAGGGCGGATGAAGGTCGACTTGATGGTCGTGTGCACACGACCATCTGGGCCAGGAAAGGTGTCGATTACTCGTCCAATGGGCCAATGAGCTCTGCTGAGTGCAGGATCAACAATCATGACGACATCATCAGGTTTCATCTCCCTGCCATTTCTGTCATATCTGCAGAGAAGGTAGGTACAGCCTGATGAAGCGTGACCAAAAGTGATCTGCCAACACCTGGCTGTGCTCCCAGTGTCGTCTGTTGAGTGAGTCCCATGCTGGGTATACAACCTGTGGTAAGGATGCATCATGTCGTCCCATCAGCAGGAGGTTTTGAGTAACTGGGTCTGGGTCGGCAGTGTCAGAGGAAACAACCTAAAGGCTTTGAGTTCAGGATTCCCTCAATTTCTACCAGCACAGTGAAGAGATGTGGTCAAACCTTGGCATTCGACGACATCATCACGGACAGTCCTAAGGAAGACTGTCTCTGGCTGGCCCTCGAGCTGTAGGTTCTTGGCTGCTTTTTGCAGAAGCATACTTCTCTCAGAGCTGTCATCAAGGATGGCATATGTTTCGATGCTGCCAGAAGGGCCATGAAGGAGAACTGGCACGACTTTCAGCATTAAACCATGAAGGAGAACTGGCACGACTTTCAGCATTACACCATGAAGACGGACTGGCCTGTCAACATAGACAATCTGGCTTAATGTCTGCACTCTGAAGACACGACTGGTAGTCTTCTGAGTGGCATCATGTAGCACAGTCAAGTGTACTTCTTTACAGGTGTGGCATAGCTTCTTGAGAGTGCACTCGTCGAGCTTATGGCAACGACCACACTTCTAACATCGTCCCCCTTCCCGGGTCCAACTGACTGATCAGTCTTCAGCTTCTTGGGCTCTTGACATCCACCCTTATAGTGTTCCTTGTTGTCACGATAGGGGCAATAAGGCTGGGGTTTGTTCTTCGGCTTTGGAGCTGTCATGAGTGCTGCTGTTGGGGCATCTTAGATGTTTGCTCCTAGTGTGGTTGCGGTTTCAGGTTACCAGTGTTATACCTGGACACTGCTCTACTGGCAAAGCTGTGTGACTGGCCATTCTTCCGGAGCCAACTTGCAAACTGCGATAGAGTATAGGTCTGACTAAAGATGGACTTCAAGATGCCCTCCTTCAAGCAGTGCTCCATGAAACTTGTCCTGAGGCTGGAGGCAAGCTTGCTGAGAAGTCGGTCCACATGTGAGCCGTAACCAAGTTTGATGCCGTTGGGACCCTCTAGGGCTTGTTTCATGCCCATGAGGGAGAGGACATCGAGGGAGAACTCCAATGTTTCGGTGTCACCACACTTTATGGCAGTCTTGGCCATCATGGCTACAATCTGGCACTGGACAAGCTGTTGCGGTTGGCCGCACTTGTCCGTAAGAGCGACTAGGGGTTCAGTGTAGGGCTGACTAGAGTACGTAAAGGACTTGGTAAGTTTCAATGCTCTACCGCCAAGTTGGTCGAGCATCACCTGGAACTTGTACTGTTCAGTGAGGTGTGGATGGATGTTGATCAGGTTGTCAAGGGCCATGCGAAGTGAGACAAACTCTCTCTTCTGTTAGAGAATCTTGGCAGAGTCGGCTTGTGAATTCCATACGATGATACTACAAGGAGTTCCATGGCCATTGTACTGGGCACTATTGGAGGGGAACCGATGGGAGGTTTAGGCCTATGTACTGAGTAGGGAGACATGGTACTGGTAGTCGTGGGTACATGTCCATCAGCACACAGTGGTGTGGGGTGAGTACTGACAAGTGTAGTCATCGAAGGAATCTGTGACACTGCAAAGGTTGGAAGACTTGGGATGGCATGGGAAGATGTGCCCTGTGTGGTAGAACACACTATGGTTGATGTGGCAGGCACAGGTTGAGCGGAGGTGCACACAGGTGTAGTGCTTTGACTTGTAGTAATGACGACATCAGTCTGTGTTTTTACTAATCGGGGGTGACTCATCACTAATTAAGGCACTGATGGCCTCAGCTTCAGCTAGTTATTGTTTAGCCCAACGTAATGTGCGTTGCCGTGACAATTTGGCAGTTATGGCTTCACATTCTCTCAAAGCCTGACGCTCTATTTCTTTGGCCTTGAGTCGGACCTGTGTGGCTTCATCATCGATAAGATCGGTGTCTGCAGCCTCCTCTTCTTCTAACTGGCACTGCAACTCCTCAACTTGAGTCTTCTTACGAAGGGCTTGTACCTTTGCAGCATGTTTCTCATTCAACCCGGACAGATGGGAATTGATGGAACTACTGTAATGGATGCTGCAGGGGGAGGAGTGATCGCTGTTGGCCACAGCTGCATCACCTGTGTGGCCATTGGGGAGCAAGCCAAAAACGTCATCTTGCTGTGCATGAGACATTCTGGTTCTCGAAATGGAAGTCCAAGGGTCGCTGGTTGTAGGATCCGGCTTAAAGGACCATCATGAAAAGGAGTCGGCAGCCGAACTGGTGATGGGCTGATTGTTTATTTAACCTGTGGTCTACAAACAGATTAACCTGAAAGAACTAATAAATATGTGCACAGACCTATAACACTTAATATTATCAAAAACATTAACATAAACATCATAAATTATGTGTAATCATATCCATAGTTGACCAAACAAAAACATGTTCATATGAACTTCGATAAAGGCCAAACACACAAGGAACACTCCTAAACAATGATTACATGACTCTAAATTTACTAAAGAAACCGCAATTAAATCTCATGAAAATATATGCCCCTGCGCTTGTGATAATGCACATGTATAACACGATGTGCATTACACTCCAAATCCAATGATTATAACCCCAGAAATCCCCCAAAATATCATATTTAGATCAACCAAATTGTACCCACTTTATGTCATCCACGCATAGGGGATATTTATAATTAACCTGGTAACTGGATAATTATGGTACAGGGCGATTAGGAGTATATTCAGAAAGAATATCGGGGAATTTCAGGAACAACGTGATTCGGTATGGAATGATTGGGCAATTACAATGAATGACTCACGAGAGGGCGCTACTGCGCGCTGCCGTGGGGCCGGGGAGACCCTTTTGGACATGCTCCGTAACACCCCAGGAGACAAACTTCAATAGCACAACTGATCATTCTCGTTCATAATCGTTCAACCACTTCACAAACATTCATCTGCAGAGTGTAGGTATCTAAATCAGTGTTATAATGTTTGGCCTTCCCAGATGTGAGAAAAATCTACTTTCACTTATTAGGGCTTAAAGTCTGTCTAATCAAGGGCCAAACGTTGTTTAGGTACGCTCTCTCCTTTCACCTATGTCAGGTAATCTCAGAGAATGCAGCAATGTCCACATGGTAGGCATCCAGTTGGCATCCATCTTTGGATTGGAATTGTTGTCCAGCAGAGATTTGAATCTTGGGTTTGCGATTGCGCCCATATGAGTTGGAGACCCGCTAGCCGTGGGGAGCCAGCCGGGTTGTGAGAATGGGTGAGCCTTTGTTACAATCCGAGGTTTCCTCGGATTGAAGCAGGCGGAGCATCCCTAAATAAGGCCACCTGGACGTCCAGGCCAGAACTTGCAGCCCCGTCACCCGTCAGAAGCTGCCTGACCATCACTCGTGGGCCGCACAAGTGCAAATTCTGGCCACCAGCTTCCAGCTCCTCAAGCCTGCTCGCACCGCAAATGGACTTGCCACTTTTTGACTTAAATGTGGGTTTGCCAGTGCACTGCACAGTGGTTAGGTAGGGAGAGCATTGTGCAGGTATTCTCTCACCCTCTTGGTCGTTGGGCTGGGGGATCAAGTGGCAAGAAGGAATCCAGGCGACCTGACCAGCTCAACAACGGCCCCGCAATGTCGGTCCTTACTGACGTTTCCTGCCAGCTGTTGCTCCAAAGATATCAGAGACATCTGGGCGGGCGTCCAGCCAGCTGCTACTCCAAGTATGTGGGAGACGCCAGAGTGGAGATCCACCATCTGCTTCCATGGCTTCACTATTCAACCCATAGCTGTGCTGAGGATTGCGCACAGCCCTTTGCCAGGATTTCTTTTTCATTCTGCAGGGTTTCTCTCGCCCTCCTCCCCAGGCCCGCTAGGGGCAGGGGATGCGCGTGCCGGTTTAGTCGTCGACGACTCGACCATTACACAGTCCCCCTAGCGTATAAAGGCGGCCTGGCTAGGGTGGTATCCTTTGTGCAATCTTGATGCCCCGGAGTTCTTGTTGCAGGAAATCCTTGTCATAGATCTCCTATAGGAGACAAGGGTGTAATTGACTGAAGACTTGACAGCGAGTTGTTGGATGACATGCGGTGGAGGTATTGGTCGGTGTTGGTGGGTTTGCGATGTACCCAAGGTGGAGAGAACCGTCGGGGTTTGTTGTGGGGTGGACATCAAGGAAGACAGTTGGCCGTCTTGTTGTTCCATGGTGAACTTAATGAAGGGGTGTTGCTCGTTGCGGTGATAGAGTGCGGATGGGATGGCTTTGAAGCGATGGAGTTTGAGGAGTTTGCGAGCTATGCCTTTCTCGATGGCTAGAGTTGAGTCTTTGAGTAGAGGTCGGAACGGTTGGGCTTGGCTGACTTGGCATTACCAAAGGCTCGATGGATCTGGGATGCGGATTTTGTAGGCTGTGGTCTTGTTGATCTTGTGAAGGCTGGGTCCATGGAGCCATGGATGTCTGTTGTGGGGACGGCACGGGTTGCGGTGGCACAGTTTATCCCTCAGGAGGTTGATATCTGCTTCTGCAGGTGAGAGGGTCGCTGGCTCAGGTTGACGACCGTGTGCTCCCCTAAGACTTGCTGGTTTCAGAGATGTGGAGGACGCGAGGGGGTTTGCCGTTGGGATATAGATGGTCCTTGGGCCTCGTGATAGGTTATCAGAATAGAGGGATGTCATTTTCCAGTGGTGAAGTCGGTAGCACTTGTGGAGCTGTTTGTGACGAGATGTGATGAAAGCAGAATTCGGTTTAGGTGAAGACATTGTCGTAGTTAACTGAGTTGAGGGTCGACTTTAGGGCGGCTTCGGTTTGGCGATGTCTTCGTCTTGCTGCGTTCTCACAGGAAAGCAAGGCTGGTTGCGCGGAATATGCGGCCGCAGCGTATCCACGCTCCATATACACTAGCCACGCTCCATATACACTAGCCAGTCTTCCACTAGCATCCGCATCACCGACCTCACACCACCTTATGAGTCAGAGCTCAACTCGAGTCCGGTAACTTTCGTGAGGACGACCTGAGCAACCTGGTCGAAACTCACAACCACCACTCTTACAAGAGAGATTCATTTCACATGGTGTACTCGCAAACCTTCTATCGTACAATGTTTGTGTACACCAAATTGAATTGAATTGAGTACATTTGGATTCAGGTCAGAATTTAATAGTATATTAGTTTTAATGGTATATTTAATAGTTTCAAAGTTGAGTGGGTATTTCTAGCCACACGCAAAGGGCCACTTTGCTATTGTAAAACATATTTATAACCTGGTCCTGCTTTTTGTGTGTAATTTATGGAGTTGTGAATCTCGCCTGCCGAAACTTTTTCTGGTGAACCAACTTTTGGTAATTTTTTTGAAATTTAGACAACAATTTCTGTAGTTAGCTGAGCAATTGTTCTCTGGGGGTAAAGTGATAAAGGCGATTTGCGAAGACTATTTCACAACATTGCAGAAGCATGTGAAAGGCTCCAAACTTTTGCCTCTAAACCCTCGAGAAGGCCAAAAAGTTTACATAAAGAAATTCCCTAATAAAACATTTTGCCTCCTCCCCCGAAAATAGTTCTGGATCCATCCTAGTTGACGTACATTTTCAAATATACAAAAAAGAAATGCAAATGTTTAAGAACATCTTGAATTTTGATGGTATTTCTGTCCCTGGACCTGCAGTACATTGTCTCATTGAATGATTACAACTGTTTTTACAGGGTTCCATAATACCGGAGAAGTGCTATAAGCCGTTTGAATGAATTTTTTTGTACAAAGGCAGGTCTTGTGTGCAAGGTAGTATGGTGTAATAAAGCCAATATAAAAGAGCTAGTCTAAGTCATCAAAAACGAAGGAGGGCGTACTAAATATTAGACTGTTAATATTTTCAAATCATGGAAATGCAGTCAGATAGCTGCTGAACCAAGATACTAATAAGGATACACATTGAAAATGAACATAATTTATGGATGCGTTATGAGAGGACTAGACATCATACAACTGCCATGCCAAACTCAAATGATTTGATTTAATATTAACCCTAACCTCCAAGGGTGTATGTAAAATCGTATTGAAATTGGAGGAGTTGGAACTGTTAGGGTTAATTATAATCTGGCACAGCAGTAAGCACAGCGTCTGACACCAGGGTCTGCTAATTATAACTGTTCTAAACGCTGTGCTGAACATGTAGTTGTGCCAAATATAAATGCATTTGAACTTTGAAAGTAAGTACTTACTCTTATCTTCGATAAACTAAAATATCTCAATGGAAAACGAAAATTCATATATGCATTTGAATTTATTACTACGTAGAAATCAATACATTAAAACACCGAGAAAATTATTCCCAACAAAAATAAGAACTAGAAATATTAAAAATTAATTCATCTATTTGTATATATGAAAAGAAATTTAGCAGGTTCAAATAGTCACACACACAAGAACTGCCTAATAGTACGTGCTTGTGATTTACCCCAGGGCAGTCAAATTGTACTTGGGAGAACAGGATATGAACCTCTTGGCCTCCAATTAATGAAATAAATTTCTCTGTTTAGCGTCCAGAATAAATTCATGATATTTAAGCTCAATCACAACCCCCTTTTCATCGTGTTTTTCTCACACCATTTTTTGGGCGATTAGTTCACAAATGAAACTCCCAATTTTAGAGTTGGTGCAAGAGCTTTTCCCCTCAGGTTTAATTGGTAAGGCATCTTACGGAATCCACAGCCAGTTTCAAAGTCAAGGTTTGAGAAATGGCTCATTCTAAATATGCATATGACTACAGCTGACTTGTCAGAAGCACTCTTAACAATTCCATTGTATTAGTTTCATAGAGCTATAATAGTTCTATGATATAGGTTCACATACATCATTATAACACCTCAAAACACACATTCTGTATCTTGGTTGGCCGAGGGTTAGTAACATATGGCATTCGCCATTTTTAAAGTTTTATTTTATTTTCCACTGCCAAGAGAACTATACCCAGCAACCAAAGAACTACAAACATGACCCGACTGGCATTGTGTAAATGGTGTGCGCGTGGCGCGTATAAAGCCTGAAGGATGGCGCGCTTCCGGAACCCTTGGGTGGGAAAATAACGTCAAAAAATGTTAGAATTTGTAATATTTTTATGGTTTGTTTACTTCCTAAAAACTCTAATCATAAAAAGGCCTTTTGTAAAATGTTTGCTGGCATATCAATTTATGGAAAATAAAAATTTGGTCACTGACCTGATTATTGCCACACTGACATGAGCAGTTCAACCATTAAGTTCATTCATAGAGCTTAAACTCGTATCTGCACCTCGTCATCCAGTGTGCATCGTGTGCACTAATTTCCATTGAAGTGGTTTTAGCATGGCACACAGGAGGCACATACCACAGATAAATGGCTAGGTTATTCTGCAAACCTTGGCATAAAATTGATGAACCCGATTTTGTCTAACAAATGTTTTTTTCGACTTTCATTGGACTTTCACTCAAAACTCTAATTTATATAAGGAAATTGCAGTTTCATAGAGAAGTGTACTGGGACAAATTACAGGTTAACGTCAGCGGGAATATCACAACTCTAAAATACTGCTATTGGGGTTATTTACTTATTTTGCCACTTAAATTAAGGTAGTATATTCCTTATACATGCAGTACATTTTGTAGTGTACAAATATTGTTTGCTTCGGGTGGTATAGAAAACTAGCCTCCCGAGGTGATTCATGGAGCATTCTATTTCCCTGAGGCAAAGCCTAGGGAAAAAAGAATGCTCCATGGATCACCAAGGGAGGCTAGTTTTACTGTACCGCGAGATAAAGCAGTCAATATTTGTTTAATAACACCTCCCCACAGATTCTGAAAAATTTAAGCTAAAATCAATAATGAAACACCAAACTGGAATTTACATTTATCAAATTTAATTCAAGAATTTCAAGCGGAACAGCAACGTTTGAATACATTCATTAACAAATGTTGTTCGCTATGAGCCGAAATATACGCCTATGCTTTCGTTGCAACGAATATAGTTCTTCGGTTGCTACGGGTATAGTTCTTTTTCAGAATATGGCTGCATGGTATAGTATTTTTGAAGCGGTGGTATAAAAATAGTAGAACTAACAAGCGTCACATGACACACTTTCAACCAATCAAGATACAGAATCTGTGGGTGAGGTGTTACAATTTTGAATATTGCAGCACTGCTTTTTATTTTATCCATAAAGCACATGTACATGCATATGTTAAGTACAAATATTCCGTAAGTTTTTTCACAATACTGGCATTCTGTAATACGGCCCATATAAACTTTTAGAGTATTTTTCCAATTTTCCCTAGTGGTTCAAGAGAACATAATGTAATAGTAGATTAACTTTTAAAACTGAATGCACAGCCATGCTTAAATGATCCAAAGTGCATGCCGTGTCTGGGTGTGTGTGTATCATTCCATTCCAAAGTGCCACTTTATAGGATACTCAAGTTTGATTGAAAAAATACAAAATAAGGAGCCAAATCTGACACTCTGATGTTGGGATCGACTTCTTCGAATTTATCACTGCGTTTTTTAATAGGTAAAAGTAATTTAGTGATACCAGGGACCGCCTGATTTCCTACTTTTTTATTCCTAAAGCTTTCACCATAGTTCTTGCTGATTGATAGCTTTGGTTGTAAGTACAAACTTGGGCAGTTTGAGGCTTAGTTTACTGTTTTGTCTGTCTCCAGGTGAATCAAGGAGTGACTGTGTTTGCTGCATCTGCTCCTCATCGGTTTCCTCGTGCTTGTCAGGGGGTGACTTGACAGGCTCTTCGGATTTCCATTCAAGTGTTGGCACCCGTGAAAGCTACACTCAAGAAAAGACAGTAGACAGTGGACTTTGAATGGGCTGTATTTGTTTGCTGTACAATGGCTGTTTTTTGTTGGTTTAGATTTTGTTTTTGATGTTTATTCAGTCAACTCTTGTTTAGATGCATCAGAAAGACAACGATCACATGCACATTATGGTGTAACTCGTGTTTAAAACAGCGTGCGGCAAAGGTGTTTGTGGAATTGGCCGAGTTTTGATGCTTATGCAAATTTACCCCATTTTATTGTGTGTTGAATAACTACTAATCTGAAGGCTTGCAAAACCAGGAAGTTGTTTTATAAGGTGGAGTTTCTCCGTCTTGTGCATAATCATTTTTTGAAGCTGTAGTCTCGCACAAAGCATGGTGTCTATGGATAGTCAGTGCACCATTTTCCTTACTTTGCTTTTCAGTTTAAAGTAAATTAACCAATTTCATATTAGTTAAACATAGTTCGACCAAAACTCACTCAAGTGGTGGATGGTATGTTTAATTAACGAGTCTATTTGACCGTTTGGAACCGGGCTTAAGGGTACGGTAGCATTGTTCATTAGTAGCTCTTTTTATAAATATGTGTCGAGGGAGCCATGACTTGCAAATATACATGTAATCATGCCAAATGGCAACGACGTTGCAATTAGCAACATGGTTCTGTTAGGTTCAATAGAAAACATGGGTGTAAATCCAAGGGGATGGGAGTATAAATCCCCCACTTTTGAGGGGGGATCGGCAACTGAATTAACCCCCCCCACGACACACACACACACCTTTTGTGGTGAGCCAAAAATTAAGCGGATTGTGAAGAAATTTTCACTGGCAGACTTCCAACGATTAAAATGCATTGAGTATCACTCAAAAAAATGACGCCTTGTGGAGGCCTAAGAAAATACATGTAGGTTGAAAAGGTCTCCACGAAGATTTACGAAACATATTCTTGCGATTTATTTTAATACTTAAAGGGCTTTTGGTTTCATTTCAACCCAGCAAGGGACTGTGGCTGAGATGGGAACATTGCGAAAACAGCACTTCATTTACCCGTGTGTTTTAGAGCACAAGATGGAATAAAGCAATGCCTCCCGAAAAGATGCAAATTCTGGAGTGTGTGCATTTGTGAATGAAGAAGCTCATACAGGCTTCCCTTGAGAATTACTGCTTACTTCAGTCACAGGAAAACAAATTTTAGGCTAAAGGATATGTTGAGGGTGGTGCCTTTTCATGTTCGATTGTTCATTTGGGATAAAGGGGGTCAAATGTCAAGGTCGTTTCTATGGGAAATAGGTTTAATACCTCCATACTCCAAGCTTGTTGGATGACTTAGTTGATTTGTATGCATATATTGAAAGTTGTGCCTTTCCACGGAAGGAGTTTGAAGTTCATTCAGAATCAGAGGTCAGACTTTGACGTACCACAATAAAAATCATCTTGTACTTACCCACTGCACTAGGAGGAAGAGGAAGAGGAACATTCCGCAGGAGACTGCATACAGAAGGAATGTCATCCGTGCCCCATATTCAGTGACAAGCAGGCCAGTGAGGAAGAACCCCAGCCCTGCTCCCAGCCCGTGGTGTACGGATATGAGTACCCCTTGCATCGTCCCGCCATACAGAGTTGGTACTGTCTCTGTCATGTAGGACACGGCAGTTGTCCATGTCATAATGAAGCAGAGCCCTGATCACAGGTAGATAGGTGAATAGTTGACAGAAAATTGACAGATTAATTTTGATCGCTCTGAGACGGAGATAGCCGAAACGAATATTATCCTGATAGTGTCTTTTATGGTAAAATGCGATTCTTTAAGGTATTATCGACGGTTTTGGTTAGATTGGCTTATGTTTGAATTGAACGGGGTTTTATTTGATTTTGGCAATTCACTGATTCAGTGGATTGATTTGTTATGATTTCTCATTCATGGGATCGGAGTTGACAAATACATGTACGTATAATGAGTGGATGTTGGTATATTTTGAATTCAACTTGATGAGATTATCATATGTTTCGTATGACACGGTTTTGACATCATTTGCCAGCCTGGTCTGAATGAGATCGTTCCGGATTGTTTCAGAGTTTACTGGATCAGTTAAGAGGGTCTGATCGGGATTAAAATGAAAATAACCCAATTTACCGTGCAAGGGCTCGATGAATACTGCAGTCCACGGCATCGTGATGAGGAAGTAGGAGACAAACCGTAAGATGTAGAGAGAAAGCCCCAAAATCAACAGCGTCACGTGGCCAAACTTGGCAATGGCCCAGCTGCTGAGAAATCCGCAGGAGAACTCTGAGAAGCTGTTTATGGCGGTGAAGATCCCCAACAAATCCTGCGTTGCGCCTGAACAAGAACATCATTAATGATAATCTCATCAGTCAAATTGGTACATGTACACAATTGACCAACACTGGCAGTAGATTTCTGGCGCCTCCCTGCATCAGTCTACCACTAGCAGGGTCAAAAGAAAACCCAGAGAGTCACGTGGAACCTGGTTGGAGAAAAGCTGTTGCGCCCGATGACTTGCTCGAGAACAGAACACACGCCACACTGTAATGTAAATTTGACTGAGGATTTTGTTTAATATAAAATAATACTATACACTGCACTTGTTGCTGAGGACATACAGTATGTCACAGAACAGCATTTCCTTGCTCTCTGCTTGATGATCCATTCACTCTCTCCAGAATCGCACTTACCGAGATTTTCTAAGTGCCAAAAGAGAAATCCCCAGACGCAGCCATTACACAGTCCAAGGAAAGCCAGCATGACCAAGACTGAGCCGTAATGCCAGCTGAGCAGCACTGCCGTGATGGGCCCGTAAGACGATTCAGTGTCGCCTGTCTTGCTGTCGTACTGTTGAGAAATAGCATCAGGTGTTACGCGTGCACCTGTAAGAGGATCACTGGTAGCTCGTTCGCAAACACCACGATGGCGACGCAGTGGAAGTGTATGGTTCCGATACATGTCGGGACAATGACGAGGACCATAATGGAGATCAATGGTGGCATATAACGCAGATCTAGAAATTGTGATCCAACTGCTATACACAAAATATGATCGATAGCTTGATAAAGAAAATGCAGTTTTCCGCCAGTCTTCTTCGATAGGGTATCGGGGCCAAGTAAAATCTTGCCAAAGAGCTTGTGCAAATGCAGAATGGCGAGGAGACCAGATTGCAAGATTGACGACTTTTTAGCTTTGGCATACATCAAATCCACATGTAAGCAATCTGTCATCCAAAATATGGACACTTCATTTGTGTGAATCTTCGATTCTCCTAGCGACTATACAAGTACTTGTATGGAGAAATCTTTCAGAGCGTAAAATTGATGTGTCATGGCAGCAAAATTTGCATTATCACCTGAACACTGTAAGGTATTAAAATCATGCCCACTTAATTTATACATATACATGTATATATACATGTTCTCGTTCACGGTTGTTTTCTGTTTTTGGTTATCAGTCCACGCATCTTTCCTTTTTATAGGTTTCCCGTCAAATTTCAGCAAAAAGGGGTTTCAGTTTAACACGAAACCTATTGAATTGATTTAAAATGAATGTTCCATCACCCGAGCATTCGAAAATGAAAGAAGTAGTTCAGTTTAAGTTACATGTATTTGAATATTCTTTCCAGAAATACGTTCATTCAAATTCAACTAGACCTAGTCTTTTTGTCTATTCTAATTCGTCAACGGCCTTAGAAGGTTTTTCCAGAATTCCATATACTCAGTAGTTTCTCGCATACATGTACATGTGTGTGGATTCAAGTTTAGACTCGTATTTATTTTTATTTTTATGTTTGGGTGGTGATTCTACTTTTGTTTTTACAGGTAGCATATATATAAATAACAAAAGGAACAGGTTAAAACTTTCCAAATTGATATCAGAATGCTCAAGAGACAAGTGTAGACTCAGACAATTTGAACAAGCATACAAAAGAATTATTCACACCAAGACAGTGATTATGGAACAAGACTATCATAGAAAACAGCTTACAGTAATAGACAGCAGTTAGAACTCCAGTAATACATATCACATGAACACTGAGAGGGTGAAGTAGATTTACCGATAAAGAAAACGCTCAATTGAAGGAACCTGCACGCTGTGGCTGTTAATATGATTGCACCAGTTCGGAAAAGAAGACAGCAAAGATTAAACTTAAGAACGTTGAAATTTTAATTTTGTAAAAATGTAGTCTTGAATGCCCAATAACGAGATAGAATGACTGAAAGAAAATCTGAACGTCAAAACCCAAATCTCTGTTTATACACAAAAACGAAATTGAGTGGGATATCAGGTTTTAAAAGAAACCCCATTCTAAACAAAATTTGCAACAAAATGTGAATGCGATTTGACCAAAATGAGCGTTACTTTGCTGAAATTGGTTGGGAAACCTTATCGTTTACATTTTCCCTCTTGCTATTATTGTGTCATTGGTTGGACCCGGACTCATGATAATATTATGATTGAATTCAGCCATAAAAAGTTCAGGAGCACTAGCCCCTCCCAACCTTGGACCTGGTTGTCTTTTCAGAAGTGCGTCCTTGGTGTGTTTAGTTTTCGAGACTTTTTACCAAAACGTACCGAGAACTTAAAGTAGGCAACACAGACCAACGCAATACTGCTTACGCCGACAGCCAAGAGGAAACTGGTCCAGTAGCCGGCGATCGTATGTTCAATGCCGCAGCTTACCTCCACCGTGCGGGTAGCGTTCAGTATGAATCCAGCAGCGGTGGAACTGCGTAGTAAAATTTTAAAATCTGTTCATTCCAACTGCAGGGGAAAACGGTAACCGGGATCAAGAAGTGTGTTGAAAAGAACAATGTGTCTCATTTAGGCTCTTTAAAAGATAGGCTACAAAGATTACATTGAGATATAAAGTTGGTTATGAGAACACTTCTGTGACACGGTTTTTTATCATCTGTTTTGGGCCATCCCTGGTTTGCCTTTACGATTTATTTTCATGATCCCAATTTGGCACTTCTTTAATCACACCTTTAAATTTCTAACACTCTGCAGTCCTCTGTACGTTACCGTCAGAATCCACGTGTCGGTAGAAAACTTGCAAGTCTGGGGGACGCCAAAGAAAATAATGCTGACAGACTGACAACTCAACAGTTAGGGATGGGTAATTCCCACATTTTTATGGAAACTGGCAAATTTCATCACCCATCGTGTCTCTCTCCTTCTCCCCTTTCCCCATTCCTTTTTCATTTCCAATGGGATTATTGAGTGAACAAGATTTCGGGGGGGCAACAGCCGTGGTGTGAAGAGAGATGAGTTCCAGGAATACTTGTGTTTCACCAACTCACACATGCAGAAGAGAACTAATAATACTGCACTTTTTGGAAGAATTCGTTTTTCTTACCAAACTCCCCATCCCAACGTGCCAAATCCTCGATTCCATCCGTAGTGATCGACATGACCGTACTCTCTTCGCAAGGCGTCCAGCGTGGCTATATCCGCTTGACATGTCGAGCTGAACACCACCACCTCAATGAAGCTGGAGATGAGAAGAATGACCACAAACAGCGTGCGGAGATCGGCCTTTTCATACAGCCAGCCTTGGTTGGCCAGGAGAGCCTCCTGGATCGGCTTGGGAAACTGGCCCAGGGACCCCTCGGTGGTCTGGTTTCTCCACGTGCCCAGGGCCACTTTCGGTAATGCTCGTCGGGTAACTTGTCTGTCGATGCCCCGTTTGAGAACCGAAGTCGACGAGAAGGAAAAGATGTCGCCGTCCAGCGAAAAATTGTACCGGGTCTGGTCCTCTTGGTAAGGGAGGCTGATGTTGAGGTGCAGCATTTCCCATATCTGCTCCTCCATCACGTCACAGGGAACTTGGGATCCACGTGGTAGCACAGCGAATGACAGCAATACGGCACCACTAAGCACAACGCTCGCCACGAGCACGGCCTTCCGGCAGCGGAACCTGTCCGCGGCCGCTGCAGTGAACGGCAGCAGGAGGAACCCAAAAATGGGCCTTAAAGCGCTGATCGTGCCTATGGAGCCAGGAGAGAACCCAAGCTGCTTGAAGTACAGCGAGATGTAAGGGAGAAAGCAAGCAAGCGAACCCCAGAACGTGAAGTTGAACACCTTGTACACGAGCAACGGCGGGTGGATGTGAAACAGTCCCGCCATTGCCTCGGATGTCAGTTGCGATAGCACACACGTAGGCCCTATGTGTGTGTTTCCTTGCTCTATCAATTCTTTGGCGTGTCGATACCGTTTGCCCGCCAAGTTAACCCAACAAATAGACCAAGAAGCGAAGTGGCAAACCCTGACGGTAATGTGCGGCGAACGTGGTCAGCACCCGTTCAGATCAGTAATAACCGCCCATTGTGAATTTACCCAAACAGCTGTTTCGTGTCGTGTGCTCTAAAGCAGACAGTTTTTTCGTGACGATGGCTCCGTTTACATATAGCGCTAAATCGAAAAGCCGATAGACTGCAGGAGTCTAGTCACGGTTGGCAGCATCCAAATAGTACCATCAGTGAATTGTATAATAATAGATGTTTATGCACGGTGGTTGTGGGATGGTCGGAGTATTTCATCCAAACGGGAACACTTCACCACAGCTTGTTGTCACGGTGGACAATTGCCTTCTCAAGGTTGTGTGGATAACAATTTCTGACCACTTCTGTAAGCATCAGTCTAAAATATTTAGCTCCATCCTTTCTTGCAAAATCTCATTGCAGGGAAGAAATTTTGTAAAGTAATATGCTTCGTCATTACTGGATAGCCACAGTTGTGTAAATGTTTGCCGTCAGCTTTTAAGTGGGAGCATGGGGCCAATCCACACGGAAGAGACAGTAACAGGACCAACGACAAAACCGTTCCTTGTTCGACCAGCAATATCAACTTGAATTTCCAGTGTGTTGTGCTTTGATTTGCTTTGTTCCCCTGGTCACTGAAGGCCGCGGCCTGCCCCATCTTTCACATGGGACAGCTGGGGAGATAATCCGATTACCTGGGCCTTGACAATTTTGCGACACCAGACGACAATCAGAAAAACTGTCCAGTTGCCCTCCCATTTTTATATTTCTGCATGCACTTCGAAACATAAAGCAGTAAACAAAGATAACATGGTTTGAGGGTGGATAATCGATTGTCGCTCTCCACGGTGTTGGAAAATGACTTTCAACTTTAAATAAACAAATATGATTGTCCACCCAATGGCTGAGATAAAAATGTTAATTTTTTTTACCATATTTCAATTAATCTTCAATTGTCAATAAAATTTTAAGAGCCAGGGAACTGTGGCATAAACACAACGAAATAATATGCACCAAGGATTTACCATTACATTTGCCGGAAGCTTTCGTGCACATTATCCTGGCGACTGCTCGACTCGAACTGTTCCCCCGAACTGTTTGACTTGTTTGCAGATGCAAAAATACTGGCAATTGACTGGCAATTGATGATGCATGACTAGAGAGAGTTCGGCTCCGGTCGGCTCCAGATATGTTATGTGATATCATCGAAAGTGTCATATATACAAACTTCAAAAGAAGCTGTGTGTTTATTCTTTAAATTTCTTCCAGTTCTCCACTGTGTTTCATTTTTCATGCATGTGATCATCCCGTCCACAAGTGTAAATAATCCGGTCTTTGTTATTGAAATAACGGACGGTTTATCTTACACGTTTAAATTCCCTCTGCATAGCTGATGGACAAGCAACGGATAGCGTATAACTGATGCCGTATCACCAACCGAGAATAATCACCTGTCGACGGTTAATCGAGTGATAATGTAAACTCTTACCGATAGCGTATTACCTGTCGACGGATAATATATGAGCCGACAACGTTTCAAAAATCGACCGATAATGAATATCAGTATCGGGGAAGGTACATAAACATTTTTTTTTCTAAAGCATGAAGACCCAACACACTACTTCAGGGTTGTTATTTTTGTCAAGTTTCAGCCTACCATCTAGGATAAAGCCAGGGGGGGATTAATGTCCAGGGAAAAAAACACAGCTGAACCTCTGCCAAACCGATAGATGGACGGCCTGTGCTAGCATCACACTGACAAATTAAAATAACGTTTTTAAACGTGTTAAAAGATATCAAATGTCTTAATCAAAATAAACCAAGTTTATATTATACTTTAGTGTATTTTATATATTTTAAAATGTATTTCCTGTTTTCCAAGAGTAACATTTTTAAGTTTATTGTGAACATTGTGAAAATAACTTATCAATAAAATAACACTATTTGTAGCCCCTTCAAAATGGTATCCCCTCTAAAACGTGAACCTGGAAATGCCCCCACAATGGCTCCAAGCTTGTAAAATTTTACACTCTTTATGCTGGATGTGTAATTAAAGGTGATTCATTTGGATATGCCAGGGAAGCCAATTTCGTTCTTTTATTTCTCAGAAACAGTTAACAAATTTTCTACGTAACAAGGACACCCAAAGAGAGGGTCCCGTTTACATGTGAAACATTTTGGTTACGCACTGTGAATCTCACCGCCAACTAGTTGTTAATTCATTCTAGTGAAGTGCCATTATAAAGCAGTTTTAACTTGCTTGTGTATTTTGATACATAAAAGAACCCCAGAACACAGCAATTTTAAAAATGTCACAGAGCCTGGTGTCCCCGTCCATGTGAAACGTATAATTATTATGAAAAGTAGATAAAATAATTCATCCTTTGTTAGAAGATATTAAACACTTTAACTTGAGCCACTAAAATTTTTTGAAGATTTTACTCTTGTTAACAGTACCGTATGATTTTTACAGCAATTAATAAGAAATGTCAATACCTTTCGTCAGAAGGAAAAATATTGGTGAATCCCCTGTCAATCAGTTTTACTGTTAGGGTCATATATCACGACTTAGTACCCGAATTTATGGAATAACCTATATTTATTTGATAAACCTATTTCAAACATAACTTTTGATTAATGCTTGTGTTGTTGATTTTTCAAAACATACCAGTACAAATTTTAATTACCGAAAATGGGTCACTTGGGAGACATTCCCATAGGAACGTGCACATAATTTTTCACACTTTACCGTCCCATAATTCAATATTCCCTAATCCGATCTCAACCAAACTTTGCATGTTTTCCTTTCAGACCCTACTCTATCATCTCTCAAAATGTGGACTATAAAAATATTCCTCCTTTTGGTCGTTGGAGCATTAGGGAGACATTGAAATGTTGAAGCGCTGAAACAAGTCCAACAGACCCAGTACCCAGCGCTGGATGGCAAAGACTAGTTACTAGTACTAGTAGAAAACAGAAAAGGTTGGAGCATCACATAGCAACAAGGCTAGAGCCCAGAGTCATAAGTCATTTAGTCCAGTCACAAGTCAAGTCACGTGTCATTTGATCAAAGGTCAAGTCAAGACACGGGACAGTTTGGTCTAAACACAAGCAATCCACAAGTCTTTTTCTCCAAGAACAAGTCAAGTCGCGCGATGTGTGATTTTAAGCCACAGCCAACTGATTCAGTGGTGGCCTTGGGCAGAGAGGACCAAAGCAGAAGTTGCGAGACCAGCGAAGTCTTAATATTACGCTGATTATGTTAAGATCGCAAGGCGTAAGTTGATAGGCCTAATTTAAAACTCAAATGAGTTTGATTGAGTAGTTTTCTGACTTGCGTTAGTAACAGGTCATAATGTCCAAGTAAAGCTACGTCCCCAAGTCATTTTTTGCAAGCCCAACTTGCCCAAGTCAAGTCACGCACAAGTCAAAAAAACGATAGTTACATGTCAAGTCAAGAGTCGCAAAAATAATTATGACGACTCGAGTCCGACTCGAGTCCTGGCAAGGCTAGTGACTCCTGTTTACAATTCTGACACGGTAGCATCAGTGCATCTATTTAAAATGTTTGTGTGGTCACTATTGTGTGGACAATCAGCAAGATCATGCAGGAATGTCTACAGGCCAGTTGGCAACTGAGATGGATGTGGTTCCCGAGGAAAATTGCTCCAGGTTCCTTGGGTGAATATTGGTCACAAGGCAAAAGGCCCTTAATCGTGCTGGACCTACCAGATATCTGGTCAGATCTGTTCTGAACTAGCCTTGGTCAAGGCGTTCGTCATTCGTCGCATCGCAGCGCACGGCCCGGCAGCGCGCACCTGCCGCTCGAAATCAATCAAGGCGAAGAGCGACCTCATGCGGTATAAGAAATATGCAGCTTATTTCTTAGACCGCATGAGGTCGCTCTTCGCTTTGATTTCGAGCGGCAGACAATCAGTTTCGCCATCATAGAGCTATACTGTATAGCTCTGGGCCCTTTTCCAATACTCGACTTGGGCTCCACTTAGGCTTCGTTCCCAAAACCAATCCCCAATTGTGGGCCTGAAACGTTTAAATTAAATTAGATTACTGTAATTTTTGGCTCTCTTGCATCTTATTTGATGTTTTGTGGCACTATTAAACTAATTATTGCTCTTACAGCTTCAACGTCAGCTAGTTAAAAACAGTTGAAGCCTCAAATGGAGCCGAATTGAGTATTGGAAAACGGCCATAGTTTCCGCCCTTCACGTGTGATGTCGCGGGTCACCATTTTCCAATACTAAACTTCGTTTCCACGTAGTCTTCATCCTTTTCTTACCACCTGACTTTGTAGTTGTTAGCCTCAAAATAAGTTAAACAGTGTCACAGAAGCATCAAATAAGATTTTTGTAAAGTAGAGCATAAAAGCATTTCAATTTAAGTGAAGCATTTCAGACCTAAACGGCGGGGACTGATTTTGGAGACGAACTCATTACCGAGACCAATCAAGTATTGAAAAACGTGGGGTGCTCATAGGGAATTCCCCTAGATTTGCAACTCGAGCCTTTTATATTTGTCATTAGAACGTTGGGAAATCCGCTGTGTTTGAAATACAGGCACTAATATTAATTGGTACACACGGGCTTACCCCTACGGTTATATCGCTTCCAACTCGCATTATTGGTAGCCTTGGAGAAAGCTGGGGAGGAATGTAATCAACAGGTAAGCTTGTTCTGACTCAAGCTTGTTCACTACCCGTATGGATGGTTGCTCTAACTTTGAAGTAGATTGACTGTCCTGAGTTTGCTACAGTTTGGACTCGGAAGAGTACCAAATATTTCAAGTAATGGCCTACAGATGTTTTTTGCAACCTCAACTTTTGCACAACAGCCACGAATTTATTGTATTTCGTTAAGATTTCACAAATTATATTCAAGATTGCGCTGAACATGCTGTGTATGTAGTATATTATTAGCCACCAGAAAGAGGTTACATACAATGTACATGTACATGCATGTATCCTAAAATTTCCAACATAGCAGGGAAGGTATTGAAGCATTTACCTTACAGAAAACACTTCCAAGTTTACAAAATCTACAACTTTATGTAATGCTGCCCTTAAAAAAACTGCGTAACAGCATACTAAAGTATACTTTCTTTTGCTTTGATTCAATCGTGCATTATTTTTTATAAGTTGGCATTGAACTGATAGTGATATATGTTAAGCGTGTGGACTGACACCAGCGTTCAACATGACATAAGTCTTTTTATTGCTACATGAATCACATGTACATTATGCGTGAATACATGTCAATGACAAGCATGGCGTGGCTCCACGGTGGTCTATAATTGCCATGCATGACTGCAAGGTACTGTACATCTCTATAACAATATCAATTATTAAATTCACCTGTCGTGACCGCATGAACTTATGGCCAAGTGTACATGTAAGGGCAGATCTACATGTAGGTTCATTAAAATACTGGAATGCAGTGGAATACATAGAGGTACAGTATGGCCTCCTCTGTCCCTTTGTATTCCTGTGTTTTAATGAACCTTGATCAGCCTCAGAAGTTTGTAAGGTACACAGCGCTGACTCTACCAGAACAGGGTGCCTCAGGTTCAAATTGCATTTTCGGACTTTTTGAAAGTTCTTCCATACCCCACAAGATGCAGTGTTTTCCTTTTATTGTTTTTAACTGAATTCCAAGTTATATTTCAAGGTATTCCACTTTTCTTTTTGTGATCTGTGGTTTTGGAGGTCTGAATTCCATTTTGTAAATACAAATCCACAATGAAAATGTAGGCATAAGTATTGAGCCAGACAAAGATTTGTCAGTTAAAATGGTGAGTCCAAATGGACTTGATTACGTTACTGTGTCAGCTCTTACATTTTCTGACTGTTGTTATTCTTAATTTTAGTCATATTTTGACATGCATATTCATTTATGTACATTTTATTTCGTCCTGTGCCCGGAAGAAGGTCATAAGCGCTTACAACCTTTTGCCGGGAAGCATAATCGCTGCAAAAAATAATTTTTGGCAAAAGGACATATGTATGCAACAGTTTTATTTTAATGAAATATAAAGATTTCTTTGCAAATAGTTCCAAAAACATTTCCCAAGTCGTTTGATAAGTTGTTCAAAGGTTGCCTTTTGCACTGCCTGTGTTGATTTTGTGGTAAATTTTATCTGTTTTTACTGAATAAAGAGAGTGTGTTTCTTACGCCCTTTTACCAGGAACATTTTCTACTGTGATCATGCTTCCGGGTAAAAGGGCGTAGGCACCCTTACAACCTTACGACGATTTCTGCTTTTGGTTTTCAAACCAAAAAATAGCCTGCCTGGATGTGACCATGTATGTGTACAGTAGGTAATGCTACATGTAATTTATAGTGTTACCTAAACTTTTACCCGTAATGTCTTGTTGTAACTATTCTTGCTGATACATGCACTAGGATAAAAGCCAGTGTTAGTCATGGCTGCAAGAAAGAGTATCTTTGTGGCCAACCTTCCAGTCCTGGAGGGGATGTCCCTATCTGACAAGCTCCATATTTACTTTGGGAAGCGGGCCAATGGCGGTGGTGACATAGACAGCGTCCAGCTGGAGAACCAAAATGGCCATCCCCTAGTTTCTGCCATCATCACGTTTGCAGAGGAAGAAAGTAAGATTCCCCAAGGAAACGGGTCTGCTCAGACAATCAAAAACATGTCACAGCAACTGGAGTCATTTTATGGAGCTGTTCCATTGGTTTATGCTTGCAAAAAATAAAAAAAGTATGATCCCCCCATGCAACAGAATTTAGCAGTTGCCTTCTTGGCAGTTCAGAAACCAGTAATAGGTTATAATTGATGAAAAATGTCACAGAAATTAATTACTTATCAAATTTATTCAACAGAATTCATTTCAAGGCAGAATCCACATACATGTATTACATAACAAAATTGAGGGCCTTTTACTCTGCAAAGCAATATGCTCAGCAAACTAGAATGAGTCTTGTATTAAGTTCATGGCTCAGCTACAAGCAAAAGGTTGCTGCTTGCTACAGAAGTAAATTTTTAATATGGTCTGCAATAAATTTTGGTAAAGGCCACAGCTATATTGTGCAGATTGAAGCTGCTGGGGGCATCCGTGTTTGTGCACAAACCTGTAGAAAACGTGAAATTTTGTTTGCCTATTGTAATACATGTATCTGCATCTGTATTCAAACATGATGTGCCAACAAAGCTGAAATACTAAAACCTAAATGCACAGTCAGTAATGAGCCTTTAGGTTTGTGCAAACAAACACTATGTACATGTACACATGTAAATTATGTGACAGGAAAAGGGCTAATGATGTACTTCCGCATTGCATCTGAATGAGAGAATTTTTTCCATCTCTATTCATGTTGTACAAATACATGCCAAAATTCAAAATGTCTGAACTCAGGAGGTGTCAAAGCTTCTCCACGCTAGGAATGACGACTCAAGGGCTCCAGTAATTTGATACAGTCCTGTGGCTCAAGAGCATTCTCACATCCATACCTACCCTGAGGATTCCATGCATGTAGATTTAGCACATATTGTACATGTATTCATATACTTTTGATCATGTTGTTTAGTAAGCAAAGAATTAAGTTTAGTCTCCAGAAGTGAATTTGGGCACACTTTCATTACAAGCATGCAACTTTTCCTCAGATCAGCTGATTTCCTCGTTTTTCACTTCACACTGGTCCCATTAGGAATTGAAAAACACTGTTCAAAATGTTGGAAATATTGGAGTTTCCTCGTTTTTTGTTTTGTCAAAGTTGCATGCCTGTAATTAAGAAATATTAATTTTGTACCTTTTTCAGCTGTCAGTTCTGTGCTGATGACGCAGCATGTATTCTATGGAAAGAAATTGATAGTAGACCCATATCATCCGATAAGTGAACATGTGCAAAGCCAAGATGGTGAAAGTAATTGCGTACACGTGCCTGAGGTAAGAACTTTAAATATTTTACACTGAGCAATCATTGTTAGAGTCAGTCTTGTTTTGAGGATGAAAGTATATGAATATATTTAACGGCATACATGTACATATGTGTACGGTCTATTCTTTCAACGAAGTGAAACCAAAGTAGGCCATGTTCACTGATTATCTTGTACTTTTGATAAAGGTAAGTTACATGTATATACAAGTGCTAAACAGTTTGAAAAAGAGCTTGATTTTTTTCAGCTTACCTTGTTGGGGTGGTATGTAAATGCTTGGATTGCTATCCATAATCAAAACCTGAGGAGTTACATGTTTACATGGCATTACAGTCTGTCTTGGACTTCAATCCTTCATAATATTCCAGTAACCTTGTCACTTTCAGAAAGTAGTCAGGTTCCCCAATCAGATTTACTAGCATTGAACTTGGTTCCATAAAATGTTTCATAAGGTGCATCTTGGAGCACTTTTATGAGCTGTGCTGATGGATTGATTATCTCAAGCCCCTGTTGCAGAGAGCAACTACACGTACATGTACATGTAGGTCATTCCTTAGACAGATTTTTAGGATGCACTGCAGTATAGCAGCAGTGTCATCACAGACTGACCAGTTGCCCATTGTTAGACAAAAGAGTGTTTTTCTTGCAATCACAGAATCTCAGCATGTTAAGGGGATTGGACCCTTGGAAGAAAGTGAAACTCATCATAAGCGCTCATAGTTGGGATGATTGCCTGGAGTCTATTGCTGCCTCAACGATGACAAAGTTGGAGATGGATGAGAGGACGGCTTTGTTCACGTTCACTGGCCGAGCCTGTGATGTCATGAGGGCTGCTGCCAAGCTGGCAAGGTCCACAAAGGGCAGCAGAATGGAAGCCTTTCTATCAAAAGAAGAAGATATGAGCAGGGATGATCAGGAGCCCCAATTCAAAACAGGAAATTTGCAACTCGTTGATCAGGAGCTTCAGAAACAAACAGGTGCCAGAAACCAAACTGGGAGCATCATTAATGAACAACTTACCCACGCCAAAATAACTCGGGTTACTCAGACAAAGGAAAAGTCGTCCATTCATTTGCCTCATCAGAGACCAACAAACCATCTACTCTCCAACAAGATTGCAAAGCAACAAAGACATACCATCAGGTTTGAGCAGAAGGTTCTGGATTACTTAAACCTTCGCGTTGCCAATCACCAAAAGATTGAAGAAATCAGAAAAGAATTCAAGGTAGACTTTGAGGCCAGGCCAGGCGGGACAGTGGAAGTGAACAGCAAAGGTCCAGAAACCGACCACCAGAACATTGAGGGGGCCATCCAGGCTCTTGAAGACTTAGTGAACCGGACCAAGGAGCTGGATCTTATCACAGAAATTGTTGATGTGATAAGGCTGTTCCCAGAAGCTTCAGCAGAAACCATAGATGCAGCGGTGCAGCAGACCATGAAGTCCACACAGGTTCTTGTGACTCAAAGAATGTGGAACAGATTGGAATTCTATGGAACAGATCATGAAGTTCATCAGGAGATAGCAAAGCTGCGGCGGAGTGTTCTTGGTGAAGAGTCACGAGATGAAGTCGATGCAATCCACAGCGTGGACACTAAGACAGCTGATGAACGAAACTTTCATGGGCATAACCCAGAATCAACAAGCCAGCACGTAGAAGAAATCCCTATGGAAACAAGTTTGATTGGAACAGACCTCAATGGCATCACATTTCCAGATCATGCAATGGCAAATTTGAGAGCCTGTGCTAATGTTGGTGCTGCTGAAGAGGATGATGATCATGACAGTGATGATGATGATAGTGATGATGAGGAGGATTGTGATGATGATGATATGCTTAATGTCCCACTGTGCCAGGCTTTAGATAATGCATTTTATGAAGTTGAAACCAATGCTGCACTTTGTTGTCAGAAGCATGAAGGGGATTCTAGCACCAGCACAAAGGATGATGAAATAGACTTTGCCCAGCCACAATATTATGGGAAATTTGGGGATTCACCCATGGAGGAGAATGCTCTCGGCTTAAATGATAAAGATTCTCAGGAGGAATCCAGGGTCCCAGATGCAGCTTCGCCCATGTCAGCTTCACAGATTTCCTTTGTGTATACCCCCCCAGACACCGACCCTTTCAGGGTTAAGACCGTAGTGCGTGGAGGCCCAAACAGTGTCCAACGAAAAGTTCAACCGGAATCAGTAGACAAACTAGCACCTAGCACCTTGTTTAATGGAGCTGGATGTGCAAAGAGTCTTGGACGTCCAAGTGGTCAGGAGGCAGTTTTGAGTAGAGCTTCTTGGGCTGATACATGGGAAGATGCAAAGGATGTGGCTGAGTCCTTTTCCTCAGGTGCTGTACCATTCACGAGCAGAGTAGTAGGAAATTGTGGATCGACACTTACAGATGGAGATTTCACCATTACTCTGAAAACGGGGATGAATCTCATCATTCGACGGGGTAACCTCATCAACGAGTTCACCAATGTAATTGTTGTTCCGGCAGATCCTCATCTGCGTCTCCAGCACGGAGCGGGTTATGCAGTGAAGGAGGCAGGGGGCCCCGAGCTGGTTACTGCATGCCGCCGCTGGGTCCAGCGACACGGCGCAGTGAAACCAGGGAAGAGTGTGTGGACCACGGGAGGGAACCTGAAGTGCAGTCATGTGCTGCACGTGGTCCCGCCACAGTGGGAACCCCAAGCTGACTCTTCGAAGCTGGAAGTGCTCAGAGAAACCATTTTGGATATTCTTAAGACATGCACCCACAAGTTGGAAGCTTCCATGGTGTCCATGCCAGTGTTAGGAGCAGGTAGGTCTATTTTATTTCTCACAAAAAGAAAAGGTCTACATGACACTTGGTCATAGCAAATATTTTTTCCGTTGTTTTTGTACACAAGAAGTATGTGCTTCCTCTTCATCAGTCTTACTTTCTTTAATGCATTGGAGGTTGAACGGCTTATGCAATAATTATATGTAACATATACAGAGGCTAGACCTGGTATCGAGTGAGCCAAGGAACAGTGAGGCATCATTGGAATACAGGTTGGGGAAATGAATGCAGGGTTTGAATTCCAAGTCATAAGCTTGTATCTCTGGGCCTCAACCTACATGTAGGTTTGAACTAGTTTGTTGTAGTTGCAGAGATTAGCAACTTGGAATATATGAATTTGATGAGTGAAAGAAATTTAACCCTAACAGTCCTCAATCCTCCTTCAAATATATGAGTTTACGTATACCCTTACAGGTGTGATAAATAACAAATACTGAATGGAAACTCTTCCCTCTCCCCAAATGAAAGCAAAAGCAGAATGTTTGATGTCTTGTTATGAAAAATCAATGGCACAGGGATGGGGGCATCAAGGAAGGTGTGCGCACTCGCATTCTTTGACGCAGTGTTGGACATCACCAAACTGTACCAGCAAGGATGGATGGGGCTAGAGACGCTGGTGCTGGTGGACCAGAATTGGGCTGCCATTGCAGAGCACCAGCAGGTCTTCAGCGATGCAATCATAAGTGGCTACATGCAGGACTTCATCAAATGGGACGAGGATGACATGGGTGACACACGGCAGGTGTCACATGCAGGAGGTAGGAGACCTTCAACCCTTGACCCTGTCAATTCTGGTTTTTATATGAGTTACAAGTTCCTGTGGAATGTGCTATCTTTTACCGGTTTGTGTACAAATGTACTTCTTATAGACTAATCCGATTAGACGCCATAACTGCAGTGCATGGCACTGCACTCACTCGCACATTCCTCAGCTTGACGCGTGCGTGCATTTGGCAAATCACGACACCCTGTTGGTCGAAGAGGCATGTAACGCGCACGTACCACCTGTCCACGAGCGTTGTACCACCGCAGTAATGGCTTCTAATTCCGGTAGTCAAATTACACTATAGGTTTTATTTGATCCTTAGATGCAACTATTTTTGTTCTAATGGTACTGCTGAGGCATATATACAGAGGCGTAGGGACCGGGAGGATGTGGGGGGATGCGGCACTCCCCCCCCCAGTAATTAATTAATAATAATTCCGGTTGGCAAATAGAGCTTCAGTCAGCAAATGAATGAAAACTAATACATTTATAAACGTATATGTTGGCCATCAGCATTTCCCTGAAGTACAGAATGTATATTGTACTACCATGGATCACATTGTGAATTTTTAAACGACAAGAGGTTGGCGAACAAGGTACAAGTTAGCAAATTGACTCTGGCTCAACCCCCAAAGAAAATGCCATTGCTACGCCACTGCATATATGATGCAGCCAGTAAGTGTTCATTTCAAATTCAGACTTTCATGCTAGTTACTAGAAATGTCAAGGGTTGAGCAAATCATAGCTTTTTCAGTCGGAATTTGGCCAGGGTTGTGCTTGGTTCTGCTAGATTTCAGTATTAATTTCTGAAACAGTTGGGTAACGCCAGAACCAAAACTTCTTCCTTTTTTACCATACCATTCCCTGCAAACTTTTCTGCCCTGCGACCGTGCAAGTGAACACTATCAACTGCAGTCTGATCATGGAAAGTCATCAGCAATATTATTTAGATTTAAAGAACATTCTCATGTTCTTATACAGTCTATTTTTTCTTTTACAAATATTCATCTGTAAATTTTCAATGAAAAGTTTGTTTTTCTCTTGCAAAAGTATTACAAATGTGCTGAGGATTCCCACCTTTGTTACTTGAAAGTTTGTCACCCAGCAGTGACCAAATTGCAAATGATTATTTCCTAGTTGTAATACATGTATTTATCACGTTCATCATGCTCTTGAATTCTGTTCTAGTCTAGTCAGCTAGGACATTTGCATCAATATCCTTGCAGCAGGACAAGGAAATCACGCAGGAAATTTAATGCCATGTTGGCCTTTGGAGGCATTGTTAACAGGTATCAACAGGGACTGCTGCATGGGTGAAAATAATTTTGAACTGCTTTTTTGCCTTTACCAATAAATGCAAAGTTGTGGTTGGATTGGCACTTGCCCTTTATCTTAAAATTCCACACCAACAGAGAACACAGGTTACTGGATAATGCTATGCAACAATTTTTTATTTATTTGTTTTTTGGGGGGAGGGGTGAGTTTTTAAATTCCCTAGCTGTTTGTTGGTTTAAGAGCTCCTTTAGTGAGTTAACCCAGGTCATCATGTCATGAATTTGCAAATCAACAGTGGCATTCTTGGACTTTACACATGTAATAGTCCCAACTGCAGGTACAGGGCAAAGCTAGTGTAAAAAGGCTTTCCATTGTCAAACTGGTTCAGCATTTTTATCAGTAATCAGCATGTCCTTCATTTGCCTCTTGCAGAGTGTGCTGACAACATTTACAATGAGATGACAAGTGTAGAACCCTGGAAAAGCAGCCCATCAACAGGCGCAGTGCCCCGCCGGCAACCCAGAGGCCTGGGCGGCTACACCAGAAGACCCCCTTGGAAACGGCCAGCATGTGGTGCTCATCTCCGCAAGAAATGTACAGATGCGTGGGTGGCAGAGGCTGACAGTCTCCCACCTGAACGGGACAACCAGTGTTCCATCTGTCTGGGCAATATAAGAAGGGAGAAGAAGTTGCACTGTGGACATCGTTTCTGTAGTGAATGTGTGAACACTTGGCTGAAAGACCACAAGTCCTGTCCTTATTGTAAACAGACAATTTAGGAAGGGGGGGTAATTTTTAAGTGGTGTTTATGAAGAAAGAAAATAAGGAGTCACTTTGTTGTACTTTATCGTATATGTAACTTCTTAGAACATTCAAGGGAAAGAATAACTACATGTACTGCTTTGAGGGTATCCCGGTAAATTAGAATAATCTAGAAAGTGTACAGAAAGACAGTACTTTGTATTTGTGTATAAACACCAGGTCTAATCTTTAATTTGAATGTGGAAATGCTTTCATCAGACAAACAGCTGCCTCTATATTCACAATGTAAAGTGTGCAGTACTCTGAAGATTGCTACAGGCAACTTGAGGCTAACGTACCGGTACACATATATGTAATCGTAAAACAGTGCTCTGGATAAGTCAAGCCCACCCATAAAATCCCACAGACACCTCTATGATCATAATAATTACAGTTGCATGGTTAGGTGACCATAGAATTTCGTGTCTACAACTGTATTAAATTACTTCAGAGTCAATATGCCTCATTTTCCATATCATCGTCAACAGTTTGTGCAGGGACTTTTTAGAAGCCGAATAAGGTGTGGCTGTGTCTATACCTCGCACGTATGTTCGGTCCCCATAGACTGTGCATGCATTTAGTTTGTGTATCTGCACATGCGCAATAGTGACATAATGGTCGTCGGCCTGAAAAATGATTAGACGACACGCATCGGTGGTGACCCATGTGAGGGATTTGTACTGCGCTTTACCTTGAAGACCTTGTGTGTGAATAAATTGTCAAACCTCTAAAATGTTGGCTTGCTGGAGGCACACCTGTACATGACAAAAACGGGCCAAAAATTGGCAGAAAATGGATTTTTATAGTGTGCAAGTTGGCACTGAAAGGGACTTTGAGTGTTTAAATTCTAATAGGTAGGGAATTGAGGGGCAAACAACTTTATCTGAGCTTGATGTTGATCGATTACTTTTGGGGTCCACCTGTCCGAGTCAAGAGCCATTTTACTGGCTTCTGTCGCTATAGTGGATTCAGTGTGCTTGCGCACAACTAAGTGAGGGGCATGAACATACGTGCTCGCCATGTGTTAAATAAAGTGGAATAATTTTTATTTCAATGAAGGTCATGTGTAAGCCTGAAAAATGTATTTACAGTGAGGCTGTATTTCTAAATTATTCTGTGCAATTCTTTAGGATAATAACAAAATACATGTTGCATGAAGTTGTTTCAGAACAGAAACCAGCTGCTTCAATTTCCACCACTCATTAAGTTCTGGGTTTCGTATTGTACTATGAGAGGCAACCAGATGCACTTTTATACCATTTTTTTTTGTATATTCATAATTTGGACCCTGATGTAATATTTGCAGTTATGGTTTACTAGTTGTAATTATATGTAGTACATGTACAGGAAGTATCATGCAGCTGAAATATGCTGTTTGAGCACGATAAAGAGACTGCGGTCAAAGACTTCGTTGAAAACTGATCTCTTAATAAGTGGCATTCAGATCTGCTTGTTAGAAGACAATCTTTCAACATTCTGTACATACACGTAGAAAGCAAGGGTTATGAAGACCTATAAAAGTCAAGCAGTGCTTAACAAAGGAATATCCCTCAAGAAAAGAAACCTTAAATAATGAACAAAATAACTAGTTTTTTTTTTCATACTTTTTAACCAATGTCAGACCCATTAGTTGTTTGAACTACCATTTACAAATGGAATTAACTGTCAGACTTTTGTTTTGAAACAATACTTTATACACATGTATGTAGATGGAGTAAGAAAGGGGTCTTGTAACATTCATCAGAGAAAAAATAAGAAACACAAATGATACTTATGTAAAATCAAATTCAATTTATTCTTCAGTTTCACGTTCGATAGTGAGTTCGTCAAGCAACTTGAAACATTTTAGGTTGAGAGTCCAAAATAAAGACAATTTTATATGCTTAGTCGTAATACAACATACATCAATGATGTGAATTTTCATTAAAGGGACTGTTTGAATCTTAAATTTAGATAAAAGTAGATAGATAAATAGCAGTAAACTGTATTGCAGTAAAAGCGTAAAAATTGTATTTAGTCACGGTATCTTCAACCCTTGCCATTACACCTGTTACTGTATGTCACCATTTTGTCACAAAATAATGATTAAAAATAAATTGCCAATTCATTAATAGGCTTGTGCCTACAGATGGTGGTGTTGGCATTTTCAGCGTACAGTACACCTGCTTTGTTCCCATTAAAAAGGCCGGTTCATTCTCCACACGAAAACATGAACGCATAATTGTGACATCAGATCAAATCTTTGTGCTGCAAATTTGCAAAAATTTAAACACACCTTAAGCTGCAAATCTCTGCTGTATGAAATATTTGACGTTGGATTTGCTTAGCTATAAAATTCACCTGAAGAATGAACTGGCCTCAACGGATATGTCAAGTCCACTTTTAAACCAATTTCTAACTGCAGGCTCTCGATGCTTGGCATTTGTGTTTTCACTGACAACTTGGCCATTGCCCTACCACAAAAGTACAAAGCATCAATGCCCCAAAGTCCCAATGGTAATCTGTCTGCTAATCTAAAATGCCCATTGAACATCAACATTATTTTATAACAAAAAAAAACATACAGCATCTGGGTGCTGTGTGAATGTATGCAGCTTGGTAATAATTTTAGGGTATTTAGTTTGAATTCTACTGAAACATGACCAGCATCTGCAGGTTGATTTCACATGCTGCAGAGTAGCTGGGAAGAATATGTATAAAATATGTCTAGGCCTACTGTGTTGTAACATGATGTGCCCTGCACAAACCAAGCCAAGAACAGGCCAAAGCAATGCATATGTGATCTTTCATCTAGTATAAGGCAACAAAGCAGTTCATGAAAAATTCTTTGATAATGAGTTCATGATTCTTTCATTTTTCAGGAATGCACCAGTTTGGTCATGCGTTACAACCATGGGACAAGTACTGCACAGTTACACAATGGAAACGATTACACCAAATACATGTAGACTGTTCTCAGGCTTTTAAAGCAACATCTCTTAAATAGGGGAAAACACGGTGCAGCAGAAACGGCGCAAGATCAAAGCAGGCTGTGTAATAGCACACAGGATCTGTAGCTCTTGTCCCCCAAGACTTTTGCACAACTGTTGCTGAGTGTGACGATTAGCAGCTTGAAGGAATTGAAAGACAGTACATTTGGTCACAATCCTGCCATTCTCAGTTTGTAATGACACTTAAATACTGGTACTTTGAAAATGTACACTGATTGGTGATGGTGCCAGATGCCCACAATGATGATCACCATGAAGTTACATGTATGCTGTGCAGTGTACATGCCAAGTGTAAATGGTTTAGCCTAAGAAAGAGAGGAAAGTAATACCAGAAACAGTGTTCCACCAGAACATTTTGGTACCAATTCTTGAGTGATCTTTTAATTAACTGTTTCATCTCAGGCTTCCTCTTCATCTTGGCCTCCACAAGTATTTTCATTGTTCTGATGAGGAATGTTCTGACGAGGTGTACCTCAGAAGTGGGCTTAAATGATTCTGAGTCTGGTTCAAGCTGTACACTAGCTGAACTCTGCAGCTGTGTATTCTGACACATTTTAATATGGCCACATTTAGCCAGAATATTAAATTTTTGTGGAATATATTCCAGAAGTTGAAGACTGTTATACCAAAACTAAAGACAAATCTTAAGTTTGAAAAAAATGGAAACCAAAAAGAAAACAGATCAACAAAGACATGCATACTGTGAAATTTTGCCTAAATAATGCAGCAGCTTTAACCACCAAATATACATTGAAACCAAATGGAAAGGTCCAAGATAAAAGAATAGTTGTGAACTCAATACATGCACATGTATTGATACATCAAATTGTAACACTGGTACTCGGTCTCTGGTGCATGATCATTAGCGAGACTGACTCATGCAAGAAAAGAATTTAAATACAAACGTTCATCCACCCTCACCAACTCTTAATGTGCAATACAAAAATATTAAAAAATTTAATCTCTCCCATACTCGCATAATATAATGTGTAGTTAACCCTTTCAAAGTTTATAGATATGATAATTTACGATTTTATCTACCCTGATATGCATGCGTAGATGTGCATGTACATTTACAACAGTGCACATAACAAAGCAAAAATAACTGCTATGTGAATACAAATTGGTATTACAGTACAAGAGTACTTGGTTGGCATACGGGTACATTTCTGGATGCTTCCTACCTCCTTAAATTCCAACTAACAATTGAAAATATTCAAACTAAAGTCCAAGACAAATTTAACTGACTTTTTTCCCATCATTCATTTGTTTTTAAGTACTTTGAGCCGATACAGATAATGCTGTAACAGTAAAAGCAAACCCAATAAAAAAATCATGCAAAAGCATTAAGTCCCCAAACTTTTTAAAAAATCTGAACATAAATCTTGAACCATGCATATGACAAACAGAAAAGGTTGAGAAAACATTTCTCTCGACGATAAAAAAGTATCAATGGAGAAAAAGTCTTAATTCCATAATCTACTTGGACTCACAGACGACGAGTTCTTGAGAAAGGACAAGAGCTCATCCTCATATGCTCAGTCCACCTAAATCAGAGTGCGCTGACGCACCTCGAACTCCTTTTTTTCCATTCGGTGCAGCAAACTTTCTAAAAGACTGTTTACAGGCAAATTTAAAACTTGATCTAATCAATCAACCCAAGTATGCATGGTTTATTTTCAAAAAGAACAACGAACACAGAGATCCCTGAAACTATATGATGGACGTTTCCACCTCATCCACTTCCTCGTTTGGCAACTTAAGAGATCAATGCGATGCACTGGCACAGAGAGAGCTTTAAAAATGTCCCACCTAATCAGACTGGCTTCCGGGTATGTGGTTGTGCTTGGTATAAACATCAGCATTTAGCTGATTACCGAGGAAAGCAGCAGTAGCACCAAAGAGTTGTCCATGAGTCTTCTGAAGTTGTACACCATGAATTGAACACGTAAAACAGGAAACACTATCTGAGAAAATACGGTCGCAGCACGGGGCACCAGAGCCACATGCAGCCCATCAATATCATTTGCGCTATCACACAAATAGAGCAGTTGAATTTCCAGCAGCAAAACCTGGGAATGCTTCTGGGTTGAGCCCCCCCTCTTAAAAAAAGAAAACAAAAACAGAAAATATCTTCACTTATTATTAATGAATACATCAAAATGACAAAGAGAAATGCAAAAAATGTGGTTTTGTTCTACAATTAAAACATTCTTCACATGAGTGTGCCTAGAGCGACTGTCTGCATCTTCATGACTTGCGTTCTTTCAGCATTTGCTACAATTGTTATATCTTGTTTGCAAAGAATGTGTACAGCTTAAAATTAACATTTAACCCCTCATACTGGCTGCTTACGAAGTTGTGATAAACAAAAATATTTTCCAAAATGGGATTTGTTTCTTACATGGGTTGTTTTCCACTCATAGACAAGATGACAGACAACCACAACCTAGGAGTTAATTTTATGGTCCCAAGACTCCCAAACAACTATTGGTCCTATGTGTCATATCTGGGCGGCCAGCGCTGCAGCCGATATGTTGTCCCCACCCCCCGCCGTTTTGCGGACCTGGGTGCAGACTAAGACTGGAGCTAGACAGATCTGGTAGTCCTCCTCCTCCCAGCAGGAGACAGGCCGGTGGTTCTGAAACAGGACACGGTCGCTGCCTTCCTGGCGCGACAGCGAGAAGGAGTCGTCCATGATGAGGTGTGCCTTGGCCACCTCAATGTGGTCACTGCCGCAAACGTGGCGGTAGGCAGTCAGTGATGCCTTGGCGGCTGCGGCCATGGTGTTCTTCCACTTGGAGTTTTTTGTGGTCAGAATGGCCTGAAAGGCCAGAGTGTGGACATGCAGACGCGTCAGGGCCCTCATGCTCGGCCCCCGCACTGTCCTCAGGCTGCGGTACACCGATCGCATCTGGTCCAAGACTGTGGCCACACGGGGGTACGGGTCTGAGACCACACTGATGTTGCCATAGTTCAGCAGACTGTAGAGGTTGGGCAGCTCCTGCTCATTCATGCCCAGGGAGTCAGCGTACAGCACCACGTGATTGATGACATCCAGGGCCGTGGCTTGCTCCACAAAAGAGGCAAACTCAAAGTGGATTGGGATGTCGGTGGGAACGTCTCTTGTCAGCACATTGCGCAGCAGTCCCAGCCTCTGGCTCCGCACATCTGGGGTCAACAACCAAAATAAAGCAAATACAGTGTGAAATAATAACTCCATGATCACTGCCTCACTGACTGTAATGTGTGTGACTCTAAAGTACACAGAACAATAACAACTAAAGCACATGTGAAGAGAGACTGGCTTTTAGGGAAGCCCACATCACACATGAAACCAGTTCACACTTTGTGTAAGGGTAGGGTGTTCAAATACAAATTTGGCATGGTGAAGCATTCACAGCAAAATTGGCCAAAGCAAATGCATTTAATTTTTGCCATGATGCAAAAATTTGCATTTCCACTTTACTTTTTGTTGAAACTAGCCTAATGTGTTTTTAACTCTATTTCTTAGTTCAAAAATGGAACGATGAGAAATGCCCAAGAATCACCAATGTGACACTGTCCTGCATAATGAATATTTAATGAAATTCATGTGTATGTACATCGGGTAAGTCTACAGCTCTGTTTAACACAGATTAGGATTGTAAAAGCAAATCAGAACACATTAACTAATATTAAGTACACAAAGTTGAATTGGGGACAAACCTACCGCCTTTAAAAGGGAAGTTATCCATCATCTGGAGCCCTCCAATGACCACAGCGTGCGGCTTGAAAGGCTTGAGCTGTTCTTGGAATGATTCCAAAGAGGACAGGAGTGGATTGGAGGCATCGCTGTGCACAATGAACCTGGGTATGGAATGACCAGAAAAACGGCTGATAAATCAGATGCAAATCAGTACAGAGTCTTTCCCTTGAACTTGACTGGAGAAGATTTCCCCCACTCTCAATGTCCCCTCACAATTCGCAAACAGGATGAGTCTGTATCAAGTTATCAAACTTTCCCAGGGAAACAACCATGCAGGGAAAGAATGCCTGGATTCATAGCCATTCAGCAACTTGAATTTCAAGCTCCTTGGTCAAGAAATGGTTAAGAAGTCCTAAATGCTAATGAAGCCAGGGAAGGCATGTACATGTACATACACCTGTAGCAACATGTATCAAATTGCTCAGCGACCCAAGACCACAAGCTGCCTCTGCATTTGCCTTGAGGCGTTCATTCTTTGCCAGTTCACAAAATCAGTCACAAACTAAATCAGTTATCAACCGATGGTCCAAGATCAAACTTGCTTAAGAGCACTTCTTATTGTAATGCCAGGATGCCACATTTTACCTGTTGGCCCTGGGTGCACTGAAGCTCCCCCACGTCTCTCCTGTCTTGTATTCCAATATCATGTGGACTTCCTCCACTTCTTGGTCGGTGGAATGACTAGTCACTGCCAGTACCAGACAAAAAAATTAGGTTGTTTAGAAGTGCTTACTCCATAGACTGCTGTTTGACTCAGTTTTTAAGCTCGAGATGTACTTGCTTTTGTGGGTCTAACTGTATGTAGTGCAATTTTTTTCTACTACAAGCCTTAGAAATGCACCTTCATGTTTTCAATTAATCTCAGACGTTGCGAACAAAAATGCAGCTGCACCGAAGTCCATCTAAGAAGCGTCTAGACCCTTCAATGCCATCATGCATGAAAGTGAGCTGGGAAAATAAGTCCCATTTGCCCCTTCTGGACCAAAACCTGGACGTGCCACTCTCTTGCACTTACCGGAACCAAAGTCATTTTGCCATCAAACTCATTTCAATTTAACTGTGCCGGCAAAGCTGAAGACTGTAAACTGACTTCATACAAGTGGAGACTCTCTTTATATGGCGACAGGACAACTTAACACCAACAGCCATGGTTAACCTTCAAGGTAGGGAGGGGAATCTAGCATACATGTACATATGCTTGTTTGCCTAGGACCAAAGTTCTGAGTTTTTGACAGCAGACTATCTGCCCAACTTCCTCACCTTTGACACCCGTCTCTATCTCCTTGGCGATGGTGTCGGAAATGACACTGCCAAGGAGCACCTGACAGCCTTCTCTGGCCATTCGATTGGCCATCACTGGTGCGTTACCCCCGATAGTCCACTTGGCTTCCGGCATATCTCTAGCAGCGGCAACCAGCCGCTTGAATAGCAGCTTGTCATGCACATAACGCCTGTACAAAAAGGGCATTGTTTAGGTAGTGTTGTGTAAACAATGCATTCATGCGTTTCTTTTTCAGAGACACAAAACCTGACTCTATTCACTTAACGCATGTGTGCACTGTGCGGCTGAAGTCGGTATTTGTGATGTTGGACAATTCCTCTCCTTCAGCTTTTTTTAACACTTCAAACTGATCCATGTTAAATCGTACTTCTCTCTGCAGTATGTTTCTTATGGGTAGTGATAGCTGTAAAACTCCAATGCAAATCTGGACAGTGGAAGATCCACTATTTTAGGGTTGTTAAGTTATGGTACCTACTTCAGGCTGCTTTGGGGATGATGGGTCACAAATATTACCAGACTTACCAGTACTTACATGTCCCCTAGAGCATAATGCGTTCTCTGAGACACAAATTGTCCAGGTTTTGCTTTTTTCTATCCCATTTGCAAAATTTGTTACAACTGACAAACAAGTTCCAATTACAGATGTCAACAGCAGTATTTATGTTCTTAGTGACTGAGAATATAATGACTTCCACTATGCAGTATGGTATACTTGGGTGCTGTGTAGAATAAAATAAAATTTCAGCCCTTTCTGAGCACTTCAACTCACTCTGCGGCTGCCCCACGCGTGAAGAAATACGTGAATCCCTCGGCAAGTTCTCTCGCCGACCTGAGCGAGTCGTGGTGCTTGACGTCCTCTCCCGCGGGTGGCTGAACGGAGATTCTGTCAAACAGCTGGACCGCCGTGGTGACAGAATCCAGGCATGAGCCCAGCCCGACGGCCACCCGACGGGGCTCAGTGGAAGAGACGTGGACCTGGGACGAAAATTCAGTTCGAAAGTTAAAAGATTACTCAAAGTCTGTGCATGACTATGGCATTTAACTGTAATTACTTACTAGATGCTTAATACACAGATGTCACACACAGTGTGGGTGTGTAAAGTTCTAGACATACACATACATGTCTTTTGGAAAACAGAGGAGACTGGTACAAAGTTTACAGTGCAAATGATTAATACACAAACTGGGAAACATGACTCTACATGTACATGACAAAACTACATGTAGCCACCCAATGTTGCTCTTAAGGTTGTCTGGATATGTACAGTAGAGGCACATGTACATGTATGTATGCAAACGGTACCTTTCTTCTTTTCTGATCAATAAATGTTATTTTGAACAGGCAGCCATCCCTGCATGAATTTCAACCATGATGGGCAAAGGGTGTTTTTTATCAACATGGCACATTTTACAACCACAGCATTTTAATACATGTAAAGTGGTAAGATCTTAAAATTCAATTTGGCAGATGTCTTTGCTGAGGCCACAATTCTTTTTTTGGTAAAATATAAACCCGCCAACTCCAAAAAATGTGATTTTCCAAAAAGAAATATTGACATATTTTCCCAAAATGGATTTTTAGTGGTTTAAAAAAACAATGGACAAAAGTACATTTTTTCTCCTTCATCCATATCATCCCCCGGTAAGTTAATTGTAACAGACATATTGAGTTGTTTTTTTTTATTTTTTTCCACCATCTGACCCTGCAACATTTTAAGTAATACTTGTAATTTATTTAACAGTTAAATACAAAAAATACTGGCCTAATGCAGTGAACCGTATGCACCACAACACACAATATGTTACATATCTTAGAGTTACAGTGTACAATGTACATGTACAGTATCGTTTCATTCTGTCACGGTTGGCACGGCATACAACTGTAGTATCACAAACAAAAGGTTTTGGTTAGTTACTGCACAAATTATAGTGTATATGCTACGCAGTATCAGAACTAATGTAAATATGTACATTTACAGATAGAAGGATCCAACATTGTTTACACTGATTCTGTTACCCCGGTAGATGTACACGTTCTCTACTTTCGTTTCTCTGCTTTGGCTTTTGTACAGTAAAGTGCAGGTATACATTAGAGATTTATGTATATGTACATTGCATGTACCGTATTTACTGCGTGCTAAAGTAAATGATAAACTACGGAATAAAACATCAATTGATTGAGATGTATTTTTCGCTTCTTCAAACACATCTGGGCCCAGCGTCAAGAAACTGCCAAAAATCAGTCTATTTCTATACGTTGGGATTTAGACGGGGTTGGCCAATTTAAATCACCTTGATTTAAATCAACAATTTATATCGCAATGCTTTTTTTACCACTGATTTAAGTTGAAATTTGAAAGTTGAGAAAAAAGACAAAACTGCTGCAATTTTTAAATTCTTTCCGATTGATATGTAATTTTTCCAGGTTTTGCACACTTTAAATAGAACCTTCAGGTCTGTGTTTTCATCAAAAGTTTGAATGCACGTGTATACATGTACATGTCTTACACACAATGTGGGTCCGCAGGTTTTTGTTTAAATCAAGCCACTTGTTTAGAATTTTAAAAAATAAATTAGCTTTCTGGATTCAATGCGTGAATTACAGTACATTTAAATAAACGTGGGTAATTCCAGCATTTAGGGGTCCATTTTTTCATGTCCTTGTTACATATGACATACGATTTTGTAAGTTCAGAACACATTTTTTATTTCCAAGAGTGATGAATTAATGCAACTTACCTGACATACAAATAGTAATAGTTTGAAATCAATTCTGTTGATATTTCCATGTTAAAAAACAAAGGTCAGATGTACAACAGAGACACGAAAATGTCACACTTTTGGACCTCTAATTTCAGGAATTAACCATGTACTGTACATGTACAGTGTACATCAGTAAAGGATTGAGAATCATGATTAAATCTCACTTCACGTAAAAAGTCCATGTCTGAGTTGTAATTTGATAAAGTACGCGTGTCAGTGTGCATCTTGCAACTTTCATCTCTACATTACTGTACTTACATGTATTACTATTACTGTAAAATAGTGCTGGCCTATCGCCAATTTTCATAAAAATAGAAAAATCTAATTTAAATTTTTGAAATCTGATTTTTTTCTTTAAGCAAAAAGAAATTTCTAACCCGGATGCAGACGAGATCATGTCAGAGAAATTTGCAGATTCATTTTCATTAAGCAATGACAGAGTTCTGAATAACTGTCACTCCCATTGTACAAGTATCCTAGTTATTGTACACACTTGATAGAATTACCAAGTTAAAATGAGGTGTGAGTGGTATACTCTGCATGTACAACGTAGGTAATTATCTGCAAATCCATTTCTGTTTAATTTTAAAATGCCAACAGCTGGCCACTTATGACTGGGCCATCCCCATGACAACTCCATTGATCAATCTTCAAAATATACATTCCAATCAGTGCACGCAGATGTTCTTTGCCAGAAAAACAAACCAATTTGTCTTAGGGAAATATTTGGACAGGTCTGCTCATCTAACCTTAGTACAAGTTGTTGTTGACAGCAGAGCAAGATACCATACACACATGTACATGTAATAATGAGGCTCTGCACTCATCAATTTTATCTTCAGCAATTAGCACACGTATGCATTATTACAAGTACTAGTACATGTACTTATTGTCCTTAAGTTATTGATGCTTTTATTCATGAATGAACATAACTTATGAAAGAAAAGAGCACTTTTTTACCCTATTCAAGAAATGTTGGTCCCTGGAAGTTTACAGCACATGTACACCGTATATATACATTGCACAACACACTGTTTATGTACATGTACATGTAGGAAAGAATCCTGCATGGCTTTAATGCAACTCTGGCAGTCTGTACAGAGAACGTTATGATCTAGCACATGTAAGTCCTGGGTGAGACTAACGTACGTGTACATTACATGAAAAATTCAAATAGAGGATCGGCAGGATTCAACCTGATGCCAGAGCAAATGATAGTCCAACAGAACTGAGAACCATTCATTGTACACCTACATGTACATACACATACCAGAACTTTAGAGAACTGTTTTAAATTAAATTAAACTTGACTAAAACCATAAAAATTAAAAGTAAACTGCCAATAAAATTGAACGCGAAATCATTCCCCGCACCAGCGGGGTGGCCAAGTACACGTACATGTACAGTGTACATATATACATAAAATTTCCACTTTATAAATGCACTTGCAGATAATTCCCATTCAGAATACAACAATATGAATAAACTATTATCAGTGGGGCGGTACCGCGCTTGGCGACACACATCACCAAGTGCTCTAGGCATGCATGATTTGGTTAAAAAATAAAACCAACTTGTGGCTGAAGAAAGCTGGACACTTTGGGATGCCACTTCTTTGGAAAGAGACAGGTACAGTGTACATGTAACAGTACATGCAGCTGTAGCCTTCTTAATAGTTCAAAATGAGCAGAGTGAAATAACTTGGTTTTAACATGTACATATATGTTACATATTTTTCACAAAGTGCAGGTCTACATATTGCCATTATCTGGTCACACAACAGCCAGCACTGAAGCAATGCCTGAATTCTTCAATTCCTCCCTTTGCAGTGGATGGGTGGTGTAATCAGTTAGGCAGCCAGCAATCTCTAAGTCAGCATGGGATCAACCATCTGTTGATCCAACCACCATCAGACTCAGTCCATGAATCAAGTTTTCCAAATTCAACTTCGGCTCTGGGTCATGGAAATTGCATTTCAAAAATGGGAAGCAACATTTAGTTCTATGATTCAGAACACCTATGATTCCAACACTACATGTACATGTACATGTACAGTCACAACACTTGACAGTGTACATTTGCACTATTTGAACCCAACTTGAGCATCAACATCAACAAACAATGTGTCATTGAAACATCAAAATTAGGCCTACCTCAATTAAGGCCCTTCATATTCGGTACATGTATGTCAGGTGCTAGTATGAACGAATGAAGCCTCATTAAATTTTAATTACAAGGGTGGCCTAGGTACTGGGCTATCTCCGTATCTAACCTCTTTTAACATTTGGACATACCGGTGCATATAGTCAGACAATACTAACATGCCCAAATGTTCATGTCCAAGTGTTAAAAAAGGTGATTCGTAGAGTCCTAATTACTCGTAGTCACACTAGCCTCAGACTTGGGACTAGTACAGGCCAGTTCACACATGTACTCCGGGAGAAGCGAATTTGACGTCACAGAAAAGCACAGTGAAGTTCGCTCAGGGTAAAAATGTGTTCAACTTTTTGCAAAACAGCAGCACAGATCCACGTCACAATTTCGCATCTGTGTTCCCTTTTGTACATGTCCTGCCAATAATGTTAGTGAAGCGGCCTACATGTACATGTACTCCCAGAACTGTAAGGTTTATAAAAACGGAACCTTAAGTTACAGATGGCAACGTAAACAGTCATATCCGACATGGTGCTACTTCAGTTTGTATGAAACTGCTGACAATGATGACCTTTCAACTGACATGCCTGGGTGAGTTAGGCAGGCAGTAATGGACGCACTGGTGTGGGTGCGGAAAATTCTCATATATTTCACCATTTTAAATGGTATAATGTAAACGAACCTCCCCCATCCCATACAAACTTGTATTCCAGGAGACCTCATGAAATTATAGGGGCAAAATCAGTGTAGCAGCATAGAAATTTCATACAAACTGAACATGCCAAAGTAGCACCATGTGGGATATTACTGTTTACGTTGCCATCTTCTGGGAGCAGAAGCGGGGATTGTAAATTTGGGGACCCTGTTCCTATAAAAGAAGGTAAAGCTACATTTTAAGTTGAATTCACCTTGGTAGATGACTGTGACATCATGCTCAATAAAGGTAGGGTTGATGCTGTCAAAAAAGGGCTGAGTTTTGAGGAAAATTTTGAGGCCAAAGTGTGAGTGTTTTAACACGATACATGGTGGATTCAAATTTGCATGTAAAAAAGTCACATTTTCTCAAAAGTTACGTTTAAAATTTCCAAAAAATAGGGCCAGCGCAATAAAGAGAGTGTTGTTGCCCTTTGTTTGGGGGGGATTTACCAGATTTGCAAGATTAAAATGACNGGGTCAGCGCAATAAAGAGAGTGTTGTTGCCCTTTGTTTGGGGGGGATTTACCAGATTTGCAAGATTAAAATGACAAAACTGGGGGGTCTGAAACTAGTACTCAGCACTAGTAGTATACATGTACAATGTAGGCCTATAATTCCTGTGCCCGTAGAAGCAGCCTTCAGCATGTTCAGACAGGGGCAGCCTAGGATCTGGGACTGAGGTACATCATGGCTTGGCCACAAATAAACTAGCTACAACCATGCATCTAGCATTAAGCCTAGCCTGGCTACCTTGTGCTCCGCTCGGAGTAAACTATTCAAAACAGTCTGCAGCCGTTCCTTCAGCTGGTGCTCCGACCTTCTCTGCAACAAGATTGCTGCAAGCACAACGAGTAAAGTCGCAGTGCCGGCCTTCACAAAAGTAGGTGCCATGATTTCTATCTACGAACAGACGTCAGCTCCAAGTTCATCAGCGGCGACACACCAGAAAAACTGATGAATCAGCGATATTTCACTGTCTCGAGGCAGCCTTGACAAACAACACAGACCGACGCAGCTAGCCACCGACTTTTCATTCATGCACATATATATGTCCACATATGTACATGTATGTACGTACATGTAGTTGTACATATCCTGTACATATCTATCTCGTACGTGCACGTATAGAGCATGCAGCGCATCCATATGACACAGATTTTTCAAATCAAGGATAGCTCCACGATGAGGGGCCTAGAAGCAGAGTCGCATATTAAAATCGCTTGTAAGCTTACACTGTTTGAATGAAATTTTGTTATGGTCAAAAACAGATCAGTAGGTATTTTTCTAGCAAAGTATGCCTCTAATTACTGAGCTAAAAATTCCAGAAGAAGCCAAATATGATATCAATCCAATATTTATACAAACCCACAGCGTAGACTTAATTCTGCAATCCCATGACGACAAACATCCCTATTGTGAAGCTGTCCACCGGTACCAGACTTGTTAAAAAATGGTCCGCATTTTTAACATAGCGCCCTCATTCAGCATTTTGTACTCCAGGTATTTCCAGTTCCCAGGCCAGCCGGCCACATGTTTGAGTACGTTCACGAATATTCGAATATGCGCCCATATGGCCACAGAGTTCCATGTAATGATGTATGATCAGAACACCGCGGACCCGGCGTTATTTATTTGCGACAATTAATGAGTGATGTTTGCTGTATTTCTTGAAGCTGCTAGATATTTATGAAATACACATAGACGTGGTTCTTGTGACTCTAGCCGGTGGGAAATTCTCAGCTATTTCAGTGTAAGTTTTGTTTTTTAATTCAAAGAACAAAAATTAACGTTACGCTTCAACTTAAAATTAAATTCAAGATCTCTCTGTCGCCTCAGTCATGCCCTAAACACGTGGTAAAACGGTAGTGTGTTATAAAGTACACTGTGTGTGTACCTGTACAGTGTACGTGTAGGTCCGTCTTGCCACTTGAAACTCAACCAACTGCCAACTAGGGTGGATTGGAAAATGTCGGGACAAAACAGGACCAATTTGACTGCTTGCCAGCTCGACTGTTGTACTGTTGCGCCAATGCTATTCCCTGTCATCCTGTACATGTACATGCTTGACTGTTAATGTTGAGCTCTCAACATATATGTACATGGACATGTATGTCTGTTGCGGCACAGCCAAGAGCAAGTGTCCTTGCTCTATGGCAGAGGTCGAGTTAACTGAATGGACTGTTTGCCGATTCGTCTAGTGTAAAATTCTATAACTTTAATTTTTTGTTGGAGCTAGTTTATTTGCAAGCAGTAAATTAACTATAGATCCACCAGAAGGTACATCATTACATGTACATACATATGTATCCATTGTGTGCTTTTTCAAATTTTGATATATATTTACTGGTACTTTGACTGTCATATTTGATTTGCTGTCTGAAAGTGACTATACTGCAAGTGTAAGCACAGTACATGTAGGCCCAAGACAAAAACCGATACATATCAATATATAAGAACAATATTAGCTGACACCCCTGACGGATAGCCTAAAAGCGAACTCAATCATTGTCGAGAGGCTAGAGGGTCTCCATAAAAATGTCAACAAATACAAGAAACACACTAGATAAAAAATGACTAAAAATACAAAAATGCACAAAAGTAAAACTCGGCAGATAAACCTTGCGAAATTAAAATGGGATCCACAAACTTGTTGTCCAGGACAGCTTTCATAACGAGCTGAACTTCAACTTCGTCAAAAGAAAATCTTTCGACTAATCAGAGACAGTTTGTCATCAGTCGAGAGAGCATTAACCTTGACAAAGTCGGTGTTCAATGCAGCACTCCTGGCTGATAAATAGGTCTGAAACATACATTCGGCTCACTGCAGATCTTTAAAAAATTCTACATCTAACTTCCGCTTCTTTGACATTGCATAATGCGCTCAAAAAAATGAAAAAATGACACAGATAGAATGCATGCCATGCGCAAGACGTAACAATTTTTACTGGTATTCTGTAGCTATCTGGGCCGGTGTATATGTACACATGTACATGAGAAATGTTTCGCTGTGCATCGCTGGTAGTTGTTAGTCTGGTTCCGAGTATGTAGACTACATACACTAGTGGGCACATAGTCCTGTTCCCAGGCTCCGTGAAAATTACACTGTCAATATTGCGTAGACGCGTATGTAGACTACACACATACATGCTCCGTTTTTCTCGTCCCATATCTGGCTGCAATTGCCAAGACTAGGATAACTGCAAAACTTGTAGTAGTTTGAAGGCAACTTGGACAACTGGACTGACAGCGCACTTGCATTGCCAGTCATCATTGTGATTGTAGGTCAACTCGTCCCCTGGCCAACTCACCCCTTACCAACTCGCCCCCTGACATACTTGCCCCTTACCATCCTGCCCCTAGCCAACTAGTCGCCCCCTAGCTGACTCGCCCCCATGCTAACTTGCCCCCAAGCAAACTCGCCTCCTGACCAAGTCGCCCTCTGAGAGAAGAGTCTGCTGGTTTGGACCATTGACTACATTTCCAAAGTGATAATAGGCCTACATGTAAGTGTCCTGGCAGAAGGCGGGATATTGAAGAATTCACCTCAAGGGGATTATTGAGAATTATTCAATAAAGTTATTTTCGGTTGATTGTAAAAGGTTCTAAGCTTACCAGAATTCTTTGTCTGGCACGCATCATTACCTCGACCTACAATGTATGGGTATTTAAATTGTTCTGTGCAACTGATTTTGTGTAAATCTCACGTTGAATATAAATTGAATAAAATGTTCTTTACTATCAGGTTGAAGCTGTGTTCATCTTGTTTTTATAATACATGTAACCATTACGACCATCACTATTTTTTTTACTGGAGTTGTTAAGAATTTTCTTTGCTATTGGATAGTAAGTAAAAATATCAGACTTTTTTTACAAGTTTTGTCAAAGATGCCAACTCAAAACAGGTAGACCTTAATTTCATGATTCTTATGATCCATGTCAACTACACAAATGCATGTATTTTGTTTACTTCTCATATGTTTTGTAATGCTGATATTTTTAGATAAGATTACACAAGAAAAAAATGCGATAAGTATATTAAAACTATTTGAAATAAGTCATCCGCAACCCATTCAAAAATTGTCCTAAACTGGCTTTGACATTTTTCTGGGATGTTTACCTTATTTTGGAATGGGAACTGATTTTTGAAAGTGAATGTACATGTCACATCTGTAATGCCTATAAACCATTCATTTTGGTCAGCTAACGTTTGCAGAAATGTCACCTTGTGGTGTTCTGATGTGTGTAACTACGTGGAATTTTTAACATTTTGTGACTTATTGTTTGACTTTTTTACTGGTGGCCAGCCATAGTTCTGGTGCCTACATGTGCTTATAGGAAATCTGTGACAGTAATGTCAAAGAACAGACCCTATCATGAAAGGAGTCAGTAAGACATAAAATGGGACCATACTAATTGCATTCATTCCAACTGCTCATATGCAGTGTGTGCACAAGGAGTTGTGAATAAAATGCTATAGTGTGGTGGATGAGCACTCTTCTCAGTGTTAAAGTTGTGTACTCGCACATGTGTATGTAATTGTCAAAATAAAAAGTACACTTAAAGTGTCAATGTAAATTACATGTATACCCCTTTCCTAAATTGTCAAGTTGTTCTCTTCTGAACAATTTATGGTAAAATAACAGATGAGTTGGACAATGAACGGCACAGAAAAAGGGCAACTTGACTATTCTAAATGATTGCATACTGGTAGTGGCCAAAGCAGCTCACCTTTTGAGCTAGCTGTCAAGTTGGCTGCTACTGTGTTAATGGTTCTTCAGTCACAAGTGCAATGCAAATTGTGTAACCCTGGGTCCGCATTTTGTTTGTAAATCCCCACAAGTCTCAAACACCTCACACTGAGGCCTGAGAAACTTATAAGTATATCAAAGTCCGCAAAAAAAGATGGTTACCAGAATTTGCTACTATTATCTTGTTCTAATAAATACATTAACTGGAATTAGGAAACTCCTTTGAAGTAACAACAATATTTAATAATAAGGTTACAGTATGGGCCAGATACCTCAACCTTGAGACTGAATGTAGAAGATAGCAAAGCAAGAACAAACCTACTTTAGTTTCAAGTTACATGTCTTCAACAAATTTCCCCCAAATTTGTATGGGCTTAAAGACAAGGTCCATAACCAGCCAACTTTCAGAAGACTTTTGTGGATCATGTTGCCTTTGCAGCAGTCCAATCATGTGAGCAATAATATCTTCTTTTTCCACATGCTTTAAACAGTAATAAGATTTAATTCTTTGATCAAGCAGGGGATTGCCTACCACCAGTATACACATGTGCAAGTACATGCATGTACATGTATGTGACATGTTTTAATACTACTAGTAGCTACATGTACATGTAATTCATGTGTGATGATATATCATATTTTGACAATGACCCTTTTTTTCATTACATGTACATGTATGTAGCCTTCGTACTTTTTAAGTAAAATCATTTACCTCTTAAAATTTGCAGTGAAAATTCTTTTAGGGTGTAGGCTAGTCGTTGCTGTGGTATCATCAGTCTCTGTTTCCCCCTCCCCACCCCAAAAAAGAGAGAAAGATGGAAGCCTGACAAACTGATCATCCTCTTAAAACACTAAAGAGGATCAAACAGCGTTTCTTTCCCTGTCAGAAGCAAAGACAAAAGCATTTTTCTTCTCTGTTCCCCCCCCTTTCCAGCACAAGGGACCACATTCCTGTCTAGATTAGCAGGTCTCAATCTGATTAGCCGCTTAATCCAGACAAGCCACCACATACTGCAAGAGGCTTCTGCATATCTTTAAGCTGATTAAGGGGTGTTCATATTGAAGGGCAGTCTTCTGGTCATTAGGAAGTGCATTGCCATTGTGCTTGATCCTGGGGGGTGAGTTGATCTGTATGGGACTGAGGCTGATCCTGATCAGCATGAGCATAGATGTAATAGCATTATCCTCTCAAAGTTTATATTGGAGCTGCGCTACATAAATGTACATTGTGCAATGAAATGTACATGTAACTTCGCCACTTCACCAGCTTTCAAAGAATTCCTGAAAAATTAAATCTATAATTTTTCACTCCAAACAGACGTTTTGGACTTGGTTTTTTTTATAATATTGTGGATGATGTAGGCCTAATCACTTTATCTAGTACCAGTACATGTAGCACGTACAGTATTGTGGGCCCAAGGAAGAAAACGTACATGTAGAATCACATCTCATGTACCGGTATGTACTCACTTTGTTTGTTTTTCAAAAAAACTTACTGAACTCTCCTTTTGCTGTAATTGTCATGGTAAAAAGTTCCTTTAGTTTACCGGTACTTCTCCCACTACAGTGTGTACACTGTACAAAGACTGAAACATTTATTATATGTCGTTTGACTGTTAACTTTTTCAGATTACATCTTTGCATAGGACTAATGTGTCAAAGCAATCTGAACAAAATAGATATTTATTAATGTAAGAGATGGCAAAAAGACAGCAGTTTAGTGTACAGGTGAACGTGTTCATCTCTGAGTATATCAGTATTTCGTAGGCTGCATGCTGAGAAAGAGATTGATTGTTGTCAAGGAGGTTGTGATAGTGAAATCATTATCCTGGTCTCCCTTTGGTTAGGATGAATTTATGGCCCACCCGGCTGAATCAAGGATTTTCCACAATGTGCACACACTAAATATCACAGTGCCGTGTGTTGTCACAATTGCATGTCCATGTACATGTAAAGTCACCACATCAGTCACCCTTTTTTGGGGGAGGGGGTGTTTTGCCTCACTACACTCTATGATCCCACACAGAGCAGGGATTAATCAACAGGGATTGCTTGGCCAGTTGCCAACCTTGCCCACATTCCTCTCTTTCTCATCTTGTGACCTGTCACTGGGTGCCAATAATCCCATACCTTTTGTAATGTCCCAAGAGCTTGCTTAGAAATCAGTGATCACACTCCTGAACATGTGATCAAGGCATTATCACTGGGAGTACAAGTGGTAAGCTCCTGAGATGCAGGGGTACATGACCCGGATCATGTTATTCTGCCGGATAGCCTTGAACTACTGAATTTTGGGAATGAACAGCATGGCATTTGACCACAGAGGACGCATGTACAAATGTACATGTACACTGTAGTGCATTTTTTATTGTGAATTTAAGGTTTTTTCATGTTTCCTTGCAATGCAAAGGTATTGTACAATAATGCTTTCTTTTTCTCATGGACATGTACAGTCTGAACAGCATCGTATCATGGTAAACATGTTCAATCATAGAAGTACCTGCAGAGTTGATAACACCTCCATTGTTCAATAAATAATGTTGTGTACACATACGCTTACATTACATTTACAGTGTACATACATTTTACATGCATGCACATGTACATGTATACTCTTTTTGTGTTATGGCTTTGGAGTGAGTGGATTTCCTGTAGTATAACAGGTGGTCTCATACAGTATTCTGTCACTTGGCAAAATAACCTCCACATCCTATACATATTCATAAATGTTTTCCATTGGGCTTGATCATCCCCTGTCCATCATAATATCAGCAAGACAAATGCTGCTGTCTCCACCATTGATTTGCCAGCTACCTCTGGCTTGGAATGCCACTAATGCACTCTCAGCTATTGTGCTGGCAGTTTGAATCATTGCTGATTGCACGCTTGCCTGGTGGCATATGTGCTATTTGAATACCAATGAGGATTACTCCATCTGTGGAATGTGCAGCCTTGTGCCGCCAAGGCTTTGTGCCAAATGTTCCAGCACTTTGGAAACAGCATCGAAAGTAACCCACATGGTGCTCCTCACACCAATGTAGAAGGGCTCTAGTTTTTCAGAGAATTTTAGGAGTTCCAATTTGAGCGTTTATTTGCAAACTCCAAATGGTTTTCATCAGGGATCCTGCTCTGATAATGGTACAGCCCACAGCACCTGGTATGTGGCCATGGAATTAGCTACCGGTTCGTGTGTGTGTATGTATGCTGTACCTACCAGGAGCTCACGCGCGCACACACACTGGTAGCAACAATAGTGTTGTTGACGAGAGCACCCTGAAGACGGAATTCCTTGATGAGCTTATTTTTCACAACAACCCTGTTGTTTGGAATTCTCACAAGCACTTGGACCGGAATTCTTTTCTTTCTTTTTTCTAGGAACCTGTTGGAAGTAAAATACATGCTGGAGAGTAATGTCCTACTGCTGACCTTGACAGTGTTCTGGCTAGGTCTTGTTGAACTCAAACAGGTCTTCCTTTCATGTGAAACTACATACTAACATATACTTCTGTTGAGGATAATTTTGTGGAGGTTTGAGAGCTCCTTACTCATACATGTCATAATCCAGTAGACATGATTATATATCCTCCTGGTATTTATAGCCAGGTGCCCATTTAAGAAAATTGTGCAAATTGTACCAAGACAGAGAATTGTGGATATCTGCATCTTGAGAACAGGTGAGTACCGTACCATGTGCAGTTTAGTGAATAATTCTTTTCTGACAGGTTATTTCTATGCCGTTATGGAGATGTATGTACAGTGTGTACATGTGTTTTTTGTTTGTTTTTTTACAGTGGGACTGGGAGGGCATAAATTTGATGTAAAATATTTTTGCTGTTGAAATCTAGTGTACTTAAATGTTGGACAGGGAATACACCAGATGGAGGATATGTTTTCCTTTGATAAATTATGCACATGTATAAATGCTTGAATTGTTAGAATAAAGATTGTTTGATGTTCCAAAAAGAAGCACACATTGTGAATGTGAGTTCCGGAAGTTACAACCATTTGTACAGTCAACCCACGAAGCTGCAGGGACCAGACTAATTATATGGCTTTGTTATGAGGAGTGAAAAAACAAAGGAAGACATGATATCAGAAACTTGGGATTCCCAAAATCTGTTCTTTATAACAGTGGTTTGTTATAACTGTTCTTTATAACGAGACTCAGCTGTACACTATTGTTTTTCTCCCACAACAAACATGTTAAACAGGAACAGAAAATTGATTTCCAACATGTTCACGTCGCCATAAATACTTTTTAACACCCAAGAGCTGGCAGTGAGATCAGTCGGTCATTGTTTATACATCCACGCTGTACGTGTATGTTTTTGATACATGTAGATCACCACCGTATTCTTTCATCTTCCCAGTGGGATGCATCTAATTTTGGGATGGTGCAGATATTGCACAGATTTTCTCACAGTGGCCAGAGTCTGTGTTCCCAGGAGTGTCTGGGAAAAAAATTGCAATGAATTCTATTTTTTTTAAAATTAAGTGAATAAAATGTTTGACATACATGTATATGTCGAGATACTGATGGAATCAAGCAGAATTCGTACAGAGGTGTGAAGTGAGATGAATATTCTAATGCCTTGTCCCCTCAAAAAAAAAATGGTTCATTGGATCACCACGTACTGGTAGCCCCATTCACCTTTTGAAGAGATTGGGCAGGTGGTCAGTGGCCATTTGCATGGTCATCTTTGTCAGTAGGGACACCACCACTGCACACGCAGGCACACGTTCTGTTTCTGATCAGTACATGTACCGGTACATACGTGTACATGTACATAGGTTTCTTTGTCTCCTGAAGGAGACACCAAGCAGTGTTTCACTGCTTCATTTCCAGCTCATTCTTGTCATGAAGCTGACTTTGAAGTTAAAGTCCAGCAAGATTAGGTTTGAAATGGACATGGTGCGCCAGCCTTTCTGGCTGAGTCCACTCAGGATAAGACCAAAGTGTTCCACTATAAAAGCAGACCTTGAGCCAGTTTGGTTCGAGGAAGATTTTAATGCTGTCATCATGTCATGGTCTATACTTAACTAAGTTCTGCAAAACAGCTTGGACTTGCCATGGCCCGGATATTATGCATATATATTTGAAGTGAAATGTGGTTTGATATTTGTGCTTGCTGCTGCTGCTGCAGTCCAGTTGTCATAAAAATGATCAGAATCTGGTGGAGTCAGTACTGTGGCATGCTCAGAGCAAATCTGAAGGGGACATGAATAAAAAGAGGTGATTGAGTTTATGTAAGTCTTTCCACGGGACGTAAAAACCAGTCTTCTGAGTCTAAGTCCTACAGAGGGCAGCTGTGCAGTATTACATACATGTAGCTGGAACAAAATATTGCCAAAACCATGGAGCTGTGGTACAGTGTTGGTTGAATTTTGATGGAGTGACTTTCATTATGCCTGTACTGGTAGTTGTGAAGATATCCCTGCTCAAAATTACTTAGGGTGTTTCATTTTCATCATGAACCACAATTTATGTCTCAAATGTCATTTTTATTTGAACATCATTTAGTGTGACACACTTTCATTTGGTCAAACTCAGTTGCAAGGGAAATATCCTTGAGCATTGCACTTCTTTGAAGAGGCTCATGGATACAGAAGAGGGCACACTGTTGGGCCGATGTCATACCGGTAGGTCAAACTGTTCACAAAGCTGCAAAACATTTATCGAATGTCACGGTCAAAAATTGACAGCTTTCCATAGTCGTCATTTATATTTTGGACTGGGGATTATGGAAACTTTTTTGATGAAAATGTGATAGTTCAAGTCATAAAAGGGAATGGATTTGGGGTCCTTTCTTGCATTTTTTAACTTATTCTATAACTCTTTCTTAGTTTTAGTCACCGGTTTTTAATTGCTGAGATTTCTGATGGAAATAAATGATCACAAACTGCCAGCTCTTGGAACCTGATACCGGTATTTGTTTAACATTGATTTTAATTTCATGATTGTGGTTTTTATATGTAAATAATATTTCATGTATCATCTGCCACCACTTACAAATTGGTTCAAAAGTTATGACAGCAATTTTTACTTCGCGTTAGGTAGCTGTGATTTAAAGGGTTTAGGTGCTGACATTTGAGACTTAATTATTCAACTCTGATCAAAATGGAGGACAGCATGGTTCCAGTGATGACTACCCTCATTTTGTAAAATTGATTTGATACTGTTTACTTTGGGAGAAAAGAACTCCCAAAAATTCAAATATGTACCAGTATTCCCCCCAAAGTTTTCTGTCAAATCAGAGAGATCCCACTTTCACCCTGAATGTGAGATGTCAATGATTTAGGCTTACCTCTTAAATTGCATTCACACACAAGTAAAAAAAAAAGGACTGCAGATTGTGAGTAATGAAAATCTGGAAATTGCTCACAGCCCACTGGAGAATGAAAAATTGGCAAATTTGAAGGGATGGATGAATGCCCGTACAGTACTTGTGGTTTAGTGCCTGCCTATTGCATACAGTGTTTCAGTAGTCCTTCAGGATGCTTGATATTGTTAACACATGTACATGCATTCTTACCCCCTCTCTTTACCCAGGGCTGTTCCTCACATGTACATGTACATATTTTTGTATGTACATGTACTTGTCAATATCCACTCTATCAAGTACCATAGTTCAAATGGAAATTTATGTGAAACACCCTCAGCTTTGTGCAGACAAGGGGGTTTTTGTCAGTTTGAAGCTTTTAACGTATACGTACATGTACGCACGTGTTTTGTACACCATTCATATACATGTACCTCAGGTGGGAAAATTTTTGTAGCATACTCTGTCCTTGTACTGGTACATGTTGGTTTTGGCAAGGCTACATCAAGTCTGCGTTTGGAAATAAGAAGCACAAGTTCAGGTTTCCTGATCCAGTGTCTAGTGTAGGCCTACCGGGTATTTTAACTCATTTACATACACTGTTCTGTAGCCATGGTTACGTACTGCATCAGTTATAATTGGTAGGTACATTGTTGTACAGGCACAGTACACAGTGCACATTACCTTTGTGGGAAAGGACAGCTATTGGGAAAGATAGAAGAAATTTTGAAATGAAAAAAAAAAATCAGTATTTGCTCAAAATGAGATGAATTTAAGGATATATCTGTTCTACCCCAATGTACATACCTGTATATATACATGTATATGTGTGTTTTGTAGCCGTTGATTTCAGCGGTAATGTACTGTAGAAAAAATGGCCGCTACACAAGCAATAGTGATTTGACACGATAAATTGAAAGATTTACATGTACCAAGTACTGTCCATAATGTGTACAAGTACATGTTTATACCGGTAATGTACCGTACATGTACTGTGCACCATGTACCTTTACACAAACTGTATGTAAGTCTTCACCACTGGGGCACAAGGTTTCTCCATTCAAAGTCACAAGGTCTGCTTCAGCCCCGCACCCTGAGATTTAAAAAAAAAACTATTTCACCCAATGGCTTCAGATCACAGGCATATTTCCTCTGTGAGTCATTTTCCCACCTGCAGTTGCTCCTGCCCCAAGAAATCCGCCAGTAATGCGGGTAATTGATTCAATTTGTGGAATATAAACCAGGAATTTGGGCTTCCTTTTGTACATGTACGAATAAACACAGATGTACTGTACACGTACATGTACTTGACTTTTAGAGCCGCGAACATGTACATGTACAGTCCATGTGCACATTGATCATTTAAGTAGACACTCTGGAACATAAGTTTGACACATGTACATGTGTGTACGCGTACATATGTTGATTGAGAAATCAGATATTTAGACAAAGGTACGTACACATAGAAATGTTGGAAAGGGAAGATCATCAACAACTTAGTTGTGTTTCCAATAGTACAGGTTTTTCATCCTTTCATTCAGCACAGCTAATGGAATCGTCCACTAATGGTACAGCCCTTGTCCCTCCTCCCATGTGGCAGCTTCACATGACACTGAGTTGCGGAACTTTGTAATTTGCATGGGGTTTCGGGGTTGGGGTAAGTGGGGGAGGGTGAATTTCAGAATTTGTTTCCCAAATTTACCAGTTCCTCGTCAGCTTTATATAGTTGGGTGCTGTTGCCATTGGACCTTTTAGCGCCCCTGGTAAGTGCCAACTTACCGTAGCTGTGCGAAAATCTTCCGTAGCTCTTTCGGCCTGGTCGTTTACATCAACATCACAGTAAGTTGACAGGGATGTCAGTTTACTGCATGTCCCTATTGGATTTAGTTCAACATTCTACAGGAAAGTCATTGTAAGTTAACCAAAACAAGTCCAATGGGAAATAAAGTCTCCCATTAGAATATACATGTACATGTACATTGCACTGTGAGAATACCCTGCTTTATTCACTTGTTTTGTAGTAATTTTTGTTTGGTTAATTGCAGTGCAAATGTGGTCGTTTGAAAGTGTAATACTTGTACATACATGTGCCGGTACATGTAATATTGAAAGCACATTTTGAATTTCATGCCATAAACGTCACAAAAAGCTCTCTCTAGAATTGCCATGACAGATGATGCATGTACATGTACCTCATAAAATGCCCGGTTGAATCTGAATGCATTTTATACCTCATCTGATAATGGACAACTTAATGTGGTATTGTCTGGAAGTTTTTTACAAAAAATGTCCCTTGAGTTCAGCTTATGGTACCTAAAAGTCGCTTTTTTGGGGAAAATATAAACAGAAATTTTGATCCACTCCCGTTTTAAGTACATTTTATATACAGTAAACATGCACTGTTATTTGTATTTTATGGCTGCCAGTACATATGTGTCAAAAAATGGTCAGTGGTAAATGTATGAATAACCACTGAGCTGTGTTATTTCTCTTCAACCATTCACATTTTTTGCTGCACATTCTTGTTAAATTATGGGTTAACGTTCCTTGCTGGGTAGCACCCATTATTGTGTACATGATACTTCTAAGAAAAAGCAGCGTGAGTGTTGTGGTTTGCTTCCAAAATTAGCGTCCTGTGTAATTACTTACATGTGTGCAATTTAAACTAGTACATACATGTATATAAGTTTGGGAAATCGCTCACAAGTAGCCATTGTTTGTAAATTTGTGACAATCGAATGTTTGGTTTGCATTTTAAAGGTGCTGGTTCACTTACAGGCATAAAGAAACTTTAAGAAGTTGTCTAAGTTCTAAACTTTTGAGTCTTCGTAAATTCATTGCAAACATTAACCCAAAACTTTCCTGCCTGTTCAAGTGGCATGCATGAACTTGCGCATACATGTACATGTATGTACCATACATGTACATGTTTACAGAAATGAACAAAATACCGTTATCTGTAAAGAGTGTACATTACATTGTACCGGTACTAGTATGTTACCAGTACATTGTATTACAAGCTTGCATTAGCACGACGAAGCAACTTTGCCCCAGGAAGCTAGGATGATACATGTCATATTAAACCAGTTTAACAAAATCAAAACTGAGAAACTTCAAAATTCAAACTTCATAAAGTTTTAGACTTTTCAAACTCTTTGCAAGCAACTCATAATTTTGGTACCGGTGTATGTGGTGATATACAGTAGATACTGTACTTATATAAAAATAAAAATAATTTGCTCAGATTGTGCATTATCAAGGGATTGTTTGTGCCAAGGTTTACTGTATCCATTCTGTTGGCAATTTCATTTTGGTGCAGTGATCGTAAATTGGTGGAATTCCACAGCCATTGTCCAGGAATTTTTGGGGAGGTCACGTGTGAAAACCAATTGTTAACAACTTGAAGTAAGTGCAGTTTGCTCTGCTGCAAATTGTATGGAGGTGTGCTGGCTCTGGCAGTATTTTGTAAACAGTGCATGGCTTTGATAACTGTACGTGAACCTTTCAAGTGTACTTGTATCAATAATCAGGCACTGGCATGTACGGTACATACATACATCTACTGGTAGCATACATGTACATGTACCTGTACCATAAAAAGAAATCTTGTACGATTTTGGAAACTGGAACTTGACATTTTCTATCACGAGGTACGGTATACGTGGCATAGAGCAATGACACAGATGTTTTGCATAATGCTTCTACATGTACGTGCACCTGTGTACATGGAATGTACATAGTTAGTTGACATAGTGTAGTTAATGGAATAACCACAGAACTATTTATGCAAAATTTGATCTATATTTGAATTTTTGAGGATTTGCCGTGCAAATGAGTACACACCGATACATGTACGTGTACATGTACAGTACTTGCCTCAGCACCACAAGTTTGCATACAGGTACATGTACATACATGTACCTGTAAATGTGTATGTTAATGTAGCAGATATTGGCATGATTCAGATTGGAGATTGTAACCTAATGAAAACCGCAAGCCAAGAGTCCTCTTCAAAACCTTAAGGCCTTTTCACACCATAGCCTCTCAACGCGGGTTGAACTCAACCCTGGGTGAACCCGACACCGCCCCGGGTCGAAAAATTGATTTTTCAACCCCACATTCAACCTGGTGTTGTTTCACACTTGTTTCATGCGAACCAAGCTTATCGGGGTGAGTCCAACCTGAAATGAGCACCAAAAATTTTCAACCCGGGTTGAAAATGCTCAACCCTGGTCCAGAGCAAGGTCGAGTTCGACCTGGGTTGAAATCAATCTCAGGGTTGACGCAGGGTTGGCACAGGGTTCAAGATTTTCAAGTGTGAATCGTTGCCAGTTGTCAACCCTGCGTCAACCTCTAAATTTGTCTAGTGGGAACCGTACGGTACATGTACAGTACATAAATGCAGCCAGTCAACATTTTGTTTAAAATATGTCAAGTACCGGTACATGCACCATGGGGTGGAGGGGGGTAACATAGTACTCTGAAGTATATGGGTAGATGCACATGTATACATGAACATGTACATTGTACCGGTAGCACATTGAAACAGTTTTTATCAGTATCAGTTGAATAAGACGTACATGTAACAGGTCCCTTAACATGAATGTATCGTCCATAATGAAACATACCACATGTTCGTGTACCTGTACAGTATTGTGCCTGTATGTCAAGGTTACTGAGCTTTAATTTACTCCAACCAAATCACTTAGAGATCTGCCTGCAGTAATTTCAGTGTTTGGAAATTCAAAGGGGGAGAATATCAAACAAAAATGCCCTTAGTGACTGAATTTAGCCAACCTACATCGGGCCAGAATGTTGATTTGTCAATTATATTTTGATGTATATGTACTGATTACATATACGTGTGACAGTAATTTTTTTTCCTATCGCCAGTTGTTTGTGAATGAATGTTTTTATACAGACAACACTCCTCCAAGGGAACCCAATCAGGTCCGAAGGCCAGGTTAGTTTTAGCTGGTGTGCTTGAATGGAAACCACAGTAGTTTAATTCCCCATTACAGCCACTTAGGTAACCTCATAACTTTGTGGAGTGTCTGACTCTGACCACTGGGTTTGTTTGATGGGCAAGTCGCAGCAGGACTTGTACATGGGGTATTCCAATAAATAAAGTGTGAGCCCTTCCTGAATCGATCTCCCCATGGAATGGTAGTGGTGATTGCTGGATTGCAGGAGGTTTTGATCCTACTCAGCTGACTTGCTGGACTTCCAGGTTTTTTATAAGGATTTATCATGGGATTTGTTGGCAGTGCATTCTACATGTACAGTACATGTACATGTATCTTAATAGCACACAGCCAGTTGCATGTACGGTGTTCATGTACACGTTGTACATGTATCTAATGTTACACAAAACGTGGCAAAGCATTGCTTTCGGATGTTTGGTCATTACTCTGCCGTACTGGCCAACCATTCCGATTTTGGCAGGATTATTATAATATTTCAAGGCGGATATTCTGAATTACGAATTTTAGTCCCAAAATTACGGTTTTTCAAATTTCAAGCACAGTGTGTTACTGAGAATCAGCATTGCATGATTTTACTTGAGTGTCCTTGTCGTCTAAATCAAAGGTCACTCTTTGTGACACTTGCAAATTAGTTGTGATTTTTTCTTTATTAATAGGACAGATTGCATGTTTCTGTGCAGTTTCAGGTTGCTGTGTGTACGCATGAGAGTCTGTAACCAGCTCCAACGATGAAGAAACCCAAAGTGGACAGCAGCACTGCCGACCGCTAGAGTTTGGCTGCTTTCCAGAAGCCTTCGTTCCTTGGTGGCAAGTGTGAAAGTGTGAAACATTCCGTGGGGATGCCCAACAAAACAGGCAGTGGGACGACTGTATCGTCCAACCCTGGACGGAAATACGTCAACATTATCCTTCTGAACAAAGAAGAGGTGCCTTTAGTTGTCGAGGTGAGAACCTTACATTTTCAGCCTCAAACCTCAATTTCCCCCCCCCCTTCCAGCAAGCAAAATTACATATGCATTCTCCATTTTGTTGTGCTTTGTACCAGTTTGTCCATAACCTGCATAGCACTGCACTAGATGTGTACATATGATCATGTATGTGAATTAAAGCATAATGCTCTGAAATATTTTGAAAGCACAAAACAAGCACTGCTTTTATAACTTTTAAACCATTTAAAAATCAGCTGCGAGATTTGCTCTGCAAAAAATTAAATACAAATATCTGGTCAGGTGAGGTGCCCACGGCATCTAATTAGGAGGGCATTTCCAGGCCCCTGGGTAAACACAATTTGGTTATCAGAAGTATGTAGAGTGGTCAGCATGAGTACCGGTACACTGATACAGATGGTAGAACAGACAGGGACCGACCACTTCTCAATGCATCAAGTCATTTACCAGGGTACCGGGCAAGGGTACTCGAAAACCCAGAGCTGGTGCGCATTCCAGCGTTATCAGTCTGCAAACACGTGCTGGCATGTAGAGAACTTCAAGGCAAGATTGGCACCCCTGCAAAATGGATTATTGTCCACTGGTGTTTAAAATAGAAAAAAAAAGATGAACATTTACCAGGCGGGTCCATAGTGCATGTTTTGATGGTGGAAATAATTGAAGGAAATATTTCTGTGGTTTGTTTATTCACATTTTTTGGTGGAGAGGTGTGAAGAATTTTTGCACCATGGACTTCCTATTGTTTTGTTTGTTGATGTTGCCTTCTTTGTGTTTGTTTGGGGTGTTTTGAGGGGAAACCTGTGTATACCTGACTCTGTCATTTCATTTGTAATTGTGCTCTTTAAAGGTGCTTTTATCACTGTGCTGCATTTTTGTTATATTTCAATTCAGTCTAAACCAAATGGATCCAATCAAACCATTGACATCAGTTACACATTGAACCGATGAGAAAATAGTCATTGACAGTAATTCCATTTAGAACCAGTTTAAAGGTACATGTACATTGTACATGTAATTCAGCCAATTACATGTGCATGTATAGTAATACACCTGTGGGGGCTGAACAATTTCCCCCGAACCGTATGTAGAAGATTAACTGTGCAGTAATCTGAACCCCCCCCAGCAAAAATTAATGCAAATTTGCATTTAAAATGTACGTGTACATACATTGTGCTAGTACAAGTATGCTGTCTCTGAGTAAGCTACATGTACACATAATGAGTACATTTTCATGTTTGTATATGTACATGTATATTGTATCATATTTATGACTGCTACCATTAATTCTCTCCTTACAGCCCAAATCCAAAGTTCAGGATATCTTTGACCAGGTTTGCCTGCTAGTGGGTGTCAAGGAGACACAATTCTTCTGGCTGTCCATCCTCCGAGGTAAGGAGTGGCCAGAACCTCCTAGTGCATGTACTAGTAGGGTTCTTAAAACTCTTCATCCGAGGCGAGGGATCAGTGGCTGCCGTCTCAGTTGTTCCTTGTCAGTGGGGTTCAGCGTTGAGAAGGAGCAACATTAATAACCCTGTCCATCCTCAATCCTGCAAAATCCCGCAGGCGGTTTTGGAGGATTTTTGAGAATTGGGGCTGTATGGCAAAATTACCTAGCTGATTGCGAAGGATGCATTGTCTCAAGATCTTGGGTAGACCTTATTATTTAAATGCTCCACCATGCGTAAATTCATGCCTAGGTTAAACGTGCGTCATTCACACTGCTCCAGGATACCATTTACACTGCCTCAACATGATGAGAGGAATTGCCGGAGGATTTTGTAAGATTGAGGCATTGATCACCCCTCCATGGAACATATTCAAGAAATATCAGAGCATTTTGGAGGATTGAGGCTGCATCCAATGTTTCCATGGCGGCAGTTGGAGGATTTTAAAGGATTGCGGGTGTACATGTATCCTAGCCAAAAGGGCCTTGGCAGTTAAGGTCAATGTATGCCAAGCAGTCTTTCACCATAACTTTTTAAAGTGTCTCTCACTTGGGAAGAGATCAGAAGAAAACATTTTTCTTTTTCTGACCAAATTCCATCTAAATCCTGCACCAGAGTTGTTGAAGTAAAGTGGATTCTGTAACACACAGGTTCACCCACATGCTTCTGATTTTGTCAGGGTGCAGGGTACTGTAATGCATGTGTTCTTGGTTTGCTGCATTATGGTAAACATACATTGTGGGGGAGGGGAATCGGAGATTCATCTCAAGAGTTGTAGTCAGGCCATCACAAGTCAATTGCGGGTCATACTTTACATCAGGACCAATAGGCACGTGCCTTTTCTGTGGTTCTACAGATTTTCATTCTCTTTTGAATTTAGGGGTTGGGGAACAAATTTGATCCAATGGAAGTTGTATGTAACCCATATGAGTTGACTTCATAGTGCTATTGCTGCTAGATGATAAGATCTGAGCAGATACGTACATGTAACTCAGATGTTTTCTTATCCTTTGCATGTTTTTCCTTCTCTCTCAATGTTTGCATTATTTATCCTTTATCTCCACTGCCCAATACACGCAGTTCTTCCTGTTTTTTGACAGGTAAGGAGCATGAATTTCTGGACCCGAAGAGCAAAATCTCCAAATACGCCCCGAAAGGATGGAAGGCTGAGTCGCCCAAGGTAAATTTGCTTTTGTATTTAATTCCTTACCGTCAAAGAAGCCTGAGTATTGTTGCAATGAATAAAATAGTCACTGCTGCATTCCACAGTGCACTATTTAACTGACCCATTACTACAAAGCACCGGTAGGTTTAGGCGGCTCACGTGGGAAGCAAGTATTTACTTGACATTTGTTGAGTTTAGGCCAAGTTGCTGAAACCGCTGTGCATGTGTACATGTACACATACATGTACCACAAGATGTACCAATGTAATGCCTTGCTTTGCAATATTTTCCGAGGCTTTCTCTTTCTGTAGCTTACATGTATGTCTTAAAATGTGCCATGTTCATTTTTCAACCAAAAAAAACATTTGAAAAATGCTTTTTTTTTGTTGTCAGTTTGAAAACTAAATAGCAAGGAAATCTATTCAATGCATATTTTTAAGAATAGAAAACAAGCTACTCGTACATTTCATTTCTTGATAAAAAGGCTGTTTGCTGCAGTTTATGTACATGTACATGTACTGTACGACTGTGGTTTTTGGATAAAAGTGTTGAATGCTGATTGATGGAATCTCTGTATCCAATGTAAATCACAACATAAAACTTTGCCCATCACCAACATAATGGTCTTTCACTTTGAGCGGATTTCTACTTTCATAACGTACAGTGAGCCTGTGGCATATCACATTGTTTGGTAGATGCATACATCTTTGGGCTGTCAAGTCTTTTATACAATGTATTTGTGGGTTTAGCTCCATCCACCTGCAACAGCCCTCTGGCTACAATAGTCCCAACAGAGGAACTATTGTGTGCTCATCAGGCAAACTTCCACTTGTGGGAGCCCCAGTCTTGTGTCAAATTTCATAATAAAAGTGGATGATTTATCACAATCATAAATGTCAAGGAACGTGTACAGTAGCATACATACAATCACATATCATGGTACATGTACAAACAGTTGTACTGTACACCAGCACAGCTTTGGCCTCCTTGGTGGGGTGTGCATGCACTTGTAGGAGGCAGGTCATGTGTAGTTGAACGAGGCAGGTTTGGTCTTCAGCTCACATGTGGTCCCCCAGCAAGTTGATTTAGGCATGATTTAGGATCCTCAGATGGGATATACTGTATGCAGCTTCACAGTACCAATGCAGAAGACCATACTCCCTCAAACCACATTTAGAGGTCATGTTAGGTCCACGTCCAAACACCAGTACTCGGCTTTAACTGATAAATACCATCGCATACCCGGTACATGTACAGGAAATGTACATGTACGAAGCTGCTTATTGGTGGTTCCCATACTGTAGCTACATATACATGTACTCCAGCCACAGCCACCTGTAATTTGGATGTGCAGCCAAACCGATAGGCCCAATAGCCCAAGGCAGGGATGAAGTACCCCAATGTTTACCACAGTGCATGGTGAGAGAAAATGAGTGTCATCAATTTGCATGCATGTTCAACTGTACCTGAGTACAGTTTCCAAAGGTAGATTTTTTTGTAATCACCATTTTACATAAATATTCCGGGGAATTCCGTTTTGTAAATATTCCAGGGAATTATCTTCCACATTTGTAAGCATCGAGACTGCTCCTTATAAACTTTCTTATGATCAAATGCAACTTGTTTGTATGTCTGTCATTTCTCCCTGTTTACCATTGGACAGTCATGCTGACTACAAACAAAGATGATCCCCACTCCATCCCACCACGCACTGCACTAAACACTGGGATACCGTCATCATCAGTACTCATACATGTACAGTACATGTACATAGGGCTACTTTACTCATGGAGCAGTGTACATGTATGTTCTGCTTAGCGAATACACCAGCAGGCATAGAATCAGTTGACAACCAGACACAGTCAGTATGCAACATGGTGTACATACACACTTACATACTTGTATACATGTACATTGGTGTATGTATGTACATGTACCAATAGAGTGCAGATGGAATTTGGGCCAAAAATCTTTCTTTGCTTTGCCATACCGGTATTCCTTTGAGTCAGTATCTCCATGAAATTTTAACCCAGCTGCCCCCTCCCCTATGCTATGAAGACTGTCCTAGGAAAAGTTGTGGTTTTGGTTGAATAATTCATCGTACACGTACATGTAGTAGGTTCGCCGTTGAGGACCACTGAGAAAAATGGAAGGGGAGAGGAAGTACCGTAAGGTAGATGAGTAAGGGTGTGTTTTTACATGAAGGTCATGATCAGCAGGAATCCAAAGGACAAGAGTAGGTACACTGTACAGTCTTGCTCCCAGGCCTCTTGTTCATCCAAGAAGCAACACATGCATCACCTCTGTCACAATTGGCTTTGTTACATGTACTTCGGCATCATTTCTGACATTTCAAGCTTTTGTTGCATAGGCCCAATGCAGGGTACATTTAAGTTTTTTTCTTTTTTCTTTTAGTTCAAATCACATTCTCAGATGTTTCTGTCATGAAAAAAACTATTAGTCCATGTTGCGTTCGATTTTCCAAAGTGGCAGGTGAATGGTTTGCTAAACCCCAGGAGCCACAACCAGCAGTAGATGAGACTGAAGAACAGGCAATCAAATATATGATTTCTTGTTGAGTTTTCAATAAAGTTGGCTATTCACCACAGTCAACATGCCCTAGTTTGTACTTACATGTACATCATTCCCACAATGTTACTGTCATTGAACCTTTTTTTTTCTTGCACATTCCTGTCTTCCTCACTCCCCTCCCAAATCAAAATGGACCTGTGGATTTTTTTTTGTGGTAGACAGTTTGCTATTCACCAGGGAAAAGGCCCTGAGTATATTCCCACACACAAAAAACCTGCAACCAGTTGGTATTTGTTTTCGGTCCACAAATCCGATTCGTCCAAGGGAAAAAAGTCAGATTTGGTGTAGATTTAGCACCCTTGGGCTGTTGGCGCTCCAGTTGTGATTTAAAAGATATTAAAGAAAAGAGGGGTTTGGCCCAGAGGATATTAACTGTGTACAGGCTGGGACAGTTTTGTTTCACAATATGCCAGCGTCATTGACACCACTCTGCAAATACTTCCTTGGTCGCCTGATACGCTAAAAGGTTTTGGACTTTTTCACCTCTTCCTGATTTGATCCGTGAGTTGACCCGTTAGTCTCAAGACCAGAAGACAGTCATCCTTTCTAGGGATTCTTCAGGATCATTCAGCCAGGCATGGAAAATCACACACTTGTCAGTATTTCTGACAAGGGGCCAGTTTTTGTTCTAGTTCTGCTTTTAGCTGCAAGTTCAACAGCTTTAAGCACAAATTTTCTCCTCATAGTCTGTCAGCTCAGAGCTCATCTGTTGTAGCACTGTGGCTTCCTTGTTATCTTGCTCTGTTCAATATTTTGATCCCATTCTTCATTAGCAACTCTTTCCTGAGCACTGCCCAGAAATCATAGAGTCGGTCCATTTTCCAGTACTGGTACCTTCCAGTTTTAGAACGGGCTGATAATAATCAGTTGGTCTTATGTATAGGACGTGTACCGCTAACTCCTATGAACCTTTCCAAATCCTTCAGAAGTGTCCACTGAGTAGAAAACCGAAGGAACATTTTATTGTTTCAACTTCCAAGAGTTATCAAGCCCCATGTACATGTAAAGTGGCTGGTCTCTACCTTCCTCAATCCTGCAAAGTTTTTCAAAATTTTCTGGATAATTTTAAAGGATCTACATGTAACTTGATCACAGTGAAAATTCTATGTCCACAAGAACTCTTGCACATTACATGTATGCACACACATGCCCTGTATGTACTATAGCATACATGCATACATGAACATGTATGGTACACGAATGTGGACAGACTTGCATCTATGTTCAGTTTTGAACTGCAGCATCATACTGATATTTGCTGCATCACCTGAATATCCCCAGATAACGGTGCAGTTTGGCTGTTGCCAGTAGCCACAAACTGCATCATCAATCAAATCCAGATTTACCATTTCATTTTCCTTTAATAAAAAAAATTTTCAACATCTTCCGAGATTTTAGAAAGAAAACCCTTACCCTGGATGACCGTAGGCTGTGGGGGAGGGACATGCAGTAAGGGGTCTAGGGGGTCATGGGGGGATGTGACAATCTAGCACGCTGAAATTGGATCATAGGGGAGGGAAAGAAAAAGCGTAAGACTCCTGAGAATTTCCCAGGTGTCCCCTCGTAACCACATTCCTGACCCCTACATTCCTGCCTCTGCTGGTGGTACATTACTATTTTGGCAGTCTTCAAAGACCAGATCTTTGGGTGTACTCCTCCAAACTAGTCCCCCCCCCTTTCTCACTCCGGAAATTTGATTAATCAATAGCTGTGCCCCTGCCAGCCCCTGCAATAGCAGGCCATGTTAATGGCCCTTGTTGCCATGACTACCCTAATTTGATTGGTCATTAGTGGATTTTCTGTGGAATTTATTGCTGTTTTCCATCCCAGGCTACAGGCACAGGTACATGTATGTATTCTTTTTGACTTGCTACATGTGCATGTATGTGATAAACATGCTGAAGTGGGAGTTCAGACGTACTTCAGATTTATGACATCTTGTTGCAGGCACAGGTTTTCAGATTCATATTTTGTGCTCCGGTCCTTTCGCTTTGCAAAACAGAATGATTGTTCCTGTGTCTACGGCAAGGAGAGAAGAATCAAAATGTGCGGAAATGTTTTAATCGTATTACATGAGAGGAGTCTATCACTTCGAGGGGGGGCATGAGTACTGTAACCATGTTGAATTATTCAGTTGGATTTTGACAAGAATAATTTTGTAATCCTTCTTTATTCCTACTTAGTGACTTCTTTGCTACAAAATATCCCTATAGGGCCTAGTCCTTTATTAAAGGAAATAGTCTAATGCACATGTACATTTACATGTCACCTACCGGTACATCATGTACATGTATAGTACATGTACGTATGACCATACATGTAATTCACAAAGAAAGAAATATTGTACCCTTTTCTGGTCCCTGCATGACATAAAAAATATGAGTACCTTGCAAAAAGAGGAATGCATCCTCTTACTTCCGGAAAGCCTTGGCTCACAATGCACTGTGCTTGACTGTCTATTAAGAGGTTCTCTGACCATCACAATATTGACAATGCCCAGAAATCCTGCTTAATAATACTTGAATACTAGTAATGAGTTGGCACGTTGCCCATGTTGAGAGTCAGATCAGGGCATGTGTCACATCCATTTACATGTACAGTGGCTCTATCTTGCTTTCATTTTACCGAGATAAACATTTACATGTACATGCACTTGTAAATTTATGTTCATTTTTGTGTTCCGTGAACATTACAAATTTACGTGTAAATGATTCATTGGATGTCAAGTTTCTTGGCCCATGATTTGCTCTGGCAGCTTTTTTTCAATGTAGTGTAAATTATATGGATTACCATTGTGAAATAAGTCACACATGTACTCTTTGCCCAAATGATACCTGAAGTTGTACTGCACCTACAGGTACCAGTACATGTACATATGTACATGTACACAAACAGGTAGGTCAGTTGACAAACCTGCACAATGGCTGCATAAATTGTACATGTACTTGCACTGTACCTGCTTCTTTGCCCCAGAGGATTGTTGCTTGACTTACATTGTAATACAAATATTTACCATCTTTAGCCAAAATATATGGGGGAAGTGAACCCTGAGGGTGGTTACTTCAGACCATATTCATGAAAGGCATTGGAGGCAAAAGTCTCAATTTTGTGGTATGATTTTGGTCTCTTAATCTTACACAGCACCTTCGAACACTGTATGTACACACCGGTACATGTACTGTACGTTGTAGTTTTTTGGTAGAGTGTTACCTGTGGTGGTACATAATAAATTGAAATGTCCAAAACTCAGGCATATTTTTAAAAACTGTGTACATGTTGTTTCAAAGAAAGTATCGGGGCAATTGAATTGTTCGTTTGGGTTGTGTTACCCTACCGGGGTAGTTTTACCAGAATTGCAGTTCACTTTTGTATAATGCCTTTATTTTTTTTTCCTGCACTTGTTTAGGTAACAGACAAATCAGGCCGTCCAATCTTCAATGTCTACTTCAGAGTGCAATTATACGTGGAACATGTATCCCTCATCAAGTGAGTGGTTTTATTTCTCGGCAAAACAATGCCCGCCAGTGTATTAGCTGGTGTCAATATCAATGTGGTAGCCTTATCCTTAGTTTCTTTTTGGTTTTGTTTTGGGTATTTTTTTCTTTGAAGCGTTTTTACATATAAGTACATAACCAATCTGCTGATAAACAAAATTCCGAGGGGCAGCTGGGCCAGACAGATTTTTGTGATTGTAGACTTTGTTTACTGGAGGTGCATGTTTATGGTTTATACAAGTACATCAAGGCCCAGCTGAATGTTTGCTACATTTCTGATCGGTTGGTGGAATGAAATGAAAGAAAGTTACTTGACCCATAAACACTACGGTTTTTTGTACATATTTACAGTTAAACTTTCACAAGAAGAAACTGAAGTACATGTACCTGATATTAAATCCATTACATTTTGACTGTTTGGCCTGTTGGAATGTTTACCTGGTTGGAATGTGTCACTGAAACTTGAGCACCAACCCCCCAAAAAGATGTTTGGCATGTTTACCTGTAAATTGTGCCCAGCGCAGGAGTTTAATATTATACACCTGTGTGTACATGCATGTACTAGTACAGTATCTGCACAGTACATTAAGGCATATGAAGCAAGATATGGGATGGAGAGCAACCCCCCCCCCAAGTTTGTGTTGGTCATTGTTTGATCAGCATCTCAGGAATTCTTTCCATACATCCAGGCAGGATGTGTTAGGTAACAATACTCCAGGGTGTGTATAAGGATTGGACATGTGGGGGGTATCCCTCCATCTCATATCTTGCTGGGTATACATCAGGGGTGAGATTTGTCAAAAAATTTTCTGATTTCCAGATTTTTTAAAAACAAGCTCAGCCTGCTTTTCAACTGTTATTCTCTGCCCACGCTTGAGCGAACACGGTGAAAGAAGGCAGACCCTTGATCTTGTATATGGTGATTGGCCTTTGTGTGTAGCCCAGAAATGAAAAGACCGAATTTGCATGATAATCACCAGCTTCACAATAGTTCCCACTTTGAAAAGAAGCAACGGGAATGTGGAAGCGTGAGTAGAGCCACATGCCACCGAACAATCAGCCTTTTCACTGTGTAATTCAAAGTGTGCAGAGCACGCAGGGCCACAAATGGAGAATTTGCAGTTTGGCAGGTGGCCTTCATGGCCAAGCGAGGCTTGGATTCTCGGAGTTGGCTTTCGGAAAGAAATTCCCATCGTCAAGGGGTTAAAGGTGTAGAATCTGCCTCCCCCCTTGTTTTTCCATTACCGTAACATATTTTTCTTTTATGACAGACCTTCAGGAGTTTTTCCATTTATTTTCTTACTACAGCATATTTTGTAAAGGCACAAATTTTACCTAAGTTGAACGTTCACCCACCGTTTTCTCAAAGTGCTCATTTTTCTGAGATAGGTCTGCCAAAAATGTTAAATTTTCCATTGATGTACTCAATGCAAATAGGCTTTACATGTACTGTACATGTACATGTATGTATGAGGCCGAAAATTGTAAGAAAATAACAACAAATCCCTGTATCAGATTGATTTGACATTTCACAGATACTCCTGTTGAATTTATTAACATATTTCATGCCAAATTTAGGGTGGGGGAGCTTCGCTCTTGAAGGGACAAGGCAACTTCGCCTTCCCAAAGGGCACTTACGGGTATATCGGAAAAATCAATTTGTGTATGGGAACATGTTATGGGCCATTAATTAAGGCAAAGACCTTTCATAAAAAGGCAATTGCACCCGCAATTTCCTGCCCTGAAAGTTGCAAAAAAGTCAGTCCCTTGACAGCTGAGATTGAAGTGTGGATGGATCCCTCCCCCCAGCTGTGAGATGGTCCGAAAAGCCTGGCTCATTCAGCATTAAGATATCAAGTGGTTTTTACACTACGTTTCTACTGGGGTAATCTCAGGGTTATTGAAAAAAAATAACCCCGAGAATACCCGGGTAATTCACAGTGTTCACACTGCTCTTCTCAGGGTTAGAAATATTCTCTGGGTTAACTGCCTCGAAACCCCACTTAACCTGGGTATTTTTAACCCCACTCAAGAGGTGGGTTAACCCACCAATCTCGGGGTTAACGGTGGCCTTGAGACAATTCTCGGGGTTACCTTTGGTAGTATGATCGCTCGCTGGGTTTCCTTCAACGCAGGGTTTCTCATCGAATAGATAGGATGGTGTATGAGCAACCTGCACTGCCCTTGCCTCCACAGCCTTATCCTGGCACTGCTGATGTCCACTGTGGCTGGTAAATGGTATACATGTATTTCATAATATTGATAGGGGACACCAGTCCAATTGACTCCTGTCTTTTTGTTATATGAATACCATAATTGATAGCAAGGCACCAGTCATGACCTCATGCTGCACGCGTGACGTCCATACATGTACATGTACAGTACATGTACCGGTACTTGCACGCACATCACTGTGTTATGCACAAGCACATCGGCTGGACATATTTGTTAGGCCCTTCGTTCTTCTTTGCATCAATACTATTCTCCGGGTTGCCACGATTGAAATGTGAACGTGGTTACAAATTTCCCAGGTTTGCACGAAAGTGGGTATGCTAAATACCTGGGTTAAGTTTGGAAGTGTGAAACCAATTCTCCGGTTGTGTTTATACCAAGGTATGATCACACACCCGGGTGAGTAAATTACATGGGTAAAAAAGTGTGAAACCGGTATTAGTCGCATAAGTCGTGATCAAGTTGTCACAGGTAAATCACAGGTCAGTGAGTCCCTAGGTAGGTGTATTCAAATGAACTGCAACAAAGGCATTCCTTTAGCATTGTTCATTCCCTGCTCCTTGTGGCCTGTGTCGTGATTGGCTTGATTACAGATTTTTCTTTTTTAAGCATACATGTACATGTCGTTGTGTGCATGTGTCATATGAATGATGTTTGCTGTTCTAGATACAGGGAATGCTGAAAACTAATATGCTAAACTCCAGTACAGTGTACAGTATTAAAGCAAATGGCCCATTAGTTGTACATGTGTACTTGAAGAGAATCAAGAAATTATCAGGCTGCACCATCATTAGAGGGCTGCAGTCCGAGGAAGTACGCACTTCACTGTGAAGAACAATTAACAATATGCGACTTTGTTACAAGCATTCATATATGTACATGCCCCAGTACATGTACATCGCACCCTGTCCGTGCTTTAAACAAACAAGTCTGGTAACTCCCTTTCTTGTCATTTCATATACTGGTACATGTACATGGGATTCTTTCTGTTAGTCTCACATCATTCTGACCTGCTAGAAGTCCGCAATCTTGGAGAAGCCGGTTACCAATGTCCACCCTCAAGCCAGAGATACAATGTAAACCTTTTCAGGGGATAAACTTCTGGTAGTGCAAAGCACTGTGAAGAGCTGTGATTTAAAAGTTACCCTGACAGCCCTGAACCTAACAAAACCCAATACAGAACCTGGCAGACCATTTTATGGATGTTTGGATTGTACATGTAAGAACGACATTGCAAAATACCGGTACCTTTTATTTCAAAATGCACAGGGAGGACATCACAAGGCAAAACTACTACTTACAGTTGAAGCAAAACGTGTTATCCGCACCAGTATTATGCCGTGAGGAGGCCTTCTTTGTGCTGGCCTCCTATGCCTTGCAAGCTGACCTGGGCAATTATGCCGAGGACACCCACAGAGGCCAGTATTTTGATCCCTGCAAGTACTTTCCAGAATGGGTAAGCAGATTTTTCCAGAATACGATTATGTGCGAATACAGCATTACTTGGTTGTACAAGAATAGGCCCATTTCACTCACTTGCATAATGCACGTGTAGGTATAGATGTCTGTACAACATTTAATCGGACTGCATTATACCCCATCAAACATGGTTGAGTCCCAAATTACATACAAATGTTGTCATGTAACACAATAACACCGCTCTATCTCTTCGATCAGTGAGAGAGTACATGTATGTATGGAAATGCTTTTAAATGCACTACACACACAGTTGTACATTAAGTAGACCTAGATCATATCCAACTGCCACTGTGTACGTTTTGAAAATGTGTCCACCGACAGTAAAATCTTGACAACTCGAAATTCGAGGGAATGAATGAAAACTTCGAGTTATCTGGATTTGGAGTTAACGAAAGTCACACAGCCATGGAGCCAATGCACTATATACACATATATGGACATAATCGTTACAAGCTGGCACCACGGTAGCATCATTTTGGCTATTTTCCACTTTTTATTCATTCCCGTGGAGCATTGTTTGCGAATAAATAATCGTTTTGCTAAGGTTTTTCATTGTTGTTATGTCTAGAAGTTTCATTTTACCACTAAATAAACAATTCATCATTTTAAAGGTATACCTTCATGTGGAAACTCTTTGGAAACAATGTGATGTGTGCTGCAGAATTCGAGTTTGCTTTCAAATGGGTTTTTTTTCATGACATCACTTTCTGTGGTCCCATGACCATTGCAATAGGCAGTGATTGGTTCGTCCGAGACTTTGTGAGACGATTTTTCATCATGGCGATTAGTCATATGTCCTTTGATGCTTGGCTGGCCTTAAAATAACCGGCACACATTCCGTTCTGCTTGACTTCCTCAGGAATGTTTGGGTACCAGTGAGAATGTTTGTATGTGTCTGACTTTTTTTTAATCCTTGGTGGGTCACGCTTCGGCAGGTTATCAAGAGGAGAGGGGAGGCCTACATTGTTAAGCACGTCCCGGCCATGCACAGGGACCAGCGCGGGACCACAAGGGTATATGCACAAAGAGCGTACATCCGTGAAGCATCCAATACTATCGAACACGTCATGCACTTTTACCGGCTGAAAAAGGTGAGTATGCTCATCATCAACCTGCTCTGGCACTCCCAGGCAAACAGGTTCAGTTGTCAGTGGCAAACAACCTCTGACGTAGCATTCCTGACCAAGTGTCTTTCATTTGCAGTCGTCAAGAGTTTCCTCAACATCTACTTTTTGCTACTTTCACTTCTGCAGACAAAAACAGAACAGACGCCATCAATCTGGCTGGGAATTTCCACCAGAGGAATTCAGTTGTATGAGGTGAGTAATTGATTTTGACCTTGTCTGAGCATCACTCGTTGCCAGAAAGTCTGTCATTGATCATATTTTTGTAACCAGATACTTTAATATACAGTTATTGTACTTGGTATGATATTCTTGAAGTACTTGTTACAGAAAGATTCAGTAAACACTGGTTGAAGTATGACAGGCTATTTGGTATTACTTCCAAGACTACAACAATGCTGCATCATGTGGTTCATGCAAGCCTCATACATGTGCCACTAATGTCCTTCATTCCCACTCAGCAATGGTCTGGTGCCTTTTTTCGCACAGTCACCTATTGTGGACAACACTTTGTGCTTCCAAAAATGTTTGATGTTGCAATTACACATTGATGAGATCGAAGCATCAGAAGCTGAAGTACACAGTGTATGCACATGACAGGTAATGCTGGACTGTGCCTCTCAATAGGGATTGTGTCTGTTCAATTTAGTACTGAAAAAGAAGTTGCACAGTTCACCTCATGCCTCAAGATTTCTGTTCTGTAGTCACTGTTACATGTAGTTTGCCCCATTTCTTACTGAACTGAGTAATGGTGAGTTTTTGTTTTCCTTATCAGGATTCTGGTGAGGGGAAATACCTGTTGTGTGAATACCCTTGGGGAATCATCAAGAGACTAGTCTTACAGGTAAATATATGTCAAGGGGAAAGACGCATTGATTAACTTGAAGACGGTATTACTGTGACTAAAAATTCAAGTTTAGAGAAAGGGAAGGTGCAGCAGCAAACTTTTAACTATGACCAAACGCCACAAATACTGACTTGTTTGAGTCATGTGAACAGTATTTGTACACTATTTCTTACCCCAGTCTACACAACCAGTTTCCAGCAAAATCTGAGACATGCAGTTGAGCCTGGTGTGTGTCTTTTTTTTTTTGGTATCGTTACAAAATAAGTGATAAAATTATTGAACCATGTAATGTTGGTCACCAAAATGACACAGATATCCATTACAAGTGTGAGAAGGCTCAACCAAAGAATTTTATTCTATTTATTTCATGAACCAAATCTTATAGGGAAACTGACAAGGTGCTTATGAATGATTATAAAGATGAACAAAGAAATCGACTGGAGCGGGATTTGAACCTGCAGCCTCTGGAGTACCATACCAGTGCTCTACCAACTGAGTTACCCAGCCCTATGTTGGTGGCTCTTCCCATTTGTAAATTTCTCTGTTCGTGAGGCGCTAGTCAGAAGCCATTAAACCTGAAACACCATGTAGCCAGGGATCAGACCCCAATTACACACGATACAACCTGGAAAGTGGTGAACAGGGATCACTCAGAGGATATGGCTTTTTGAACATAAATCAAATCCCGCTCCAGTCAATTTCTTTGTTCATCTTTTTAATCTTTTATTTATTTGGTACAACAGAAAAAGAAGTTTGAGCTGCAAGTGGAAGGTGCAGACGGTCGGAAGATTACGTACTACACAAACAGTGAATCCAAGTAAGAGATGACCCTCCCATCAGTTTGTTTAGATTTTTTATACATGTTGATATCTTTACCTCAAAGATTTCTGGAAACAACCTTTGAATATGTGGAAGGGACATAATAAGTAGTCAAACAGTGCTTGTACAGTGATAATGTTATCATTAGTTTCCATCATAATGCATGCTTTTACTGACAGTCAATTAGTTTATCGAAGTGACATTCGTGTAATTATTAATATCATTTATTCAATCTTGTTGCCAGGTCAAAGCATCTCCTCAGGCTGTGTAAACTCACACATACTTTCCAGATGCAGACCCAGCCGATGGTGGACACGGCCAAGAAGCGAGAAAGTGCAACGGGTATGTTCAAGTGACCCTTGACCCCGATTGCAGTTCAGTAGATAATTTTGCATAGGTTTATCAGGAAGCATACTTTTACTGGTATCTAAAGGAGTTCCATCTGTTTTTTGGTTGGTTAACAGAGAAGAACAAATACCGGGAGTCCTATATCAGTGGGGATGCGTCGTGGTCGGACCTAGACAGCTCAATGACGACCACTTCACTGGAAGTTCAGCGGCAGTCTGTGGTCAGCAATGTCAGTTCTGTCACAACCTCGGGCATTGTCTCTGATGAGAGGTCACCACTGGAAAAAAGTCTCAGCGAAGGTGAGACGTCTAAGCAGAACATTTGTCATTGTGTTTACACGGTGTGACTTTCATGCATCGCACCAGTATGATATCTTGGCAATGGAAAAGCACTTTTATACATTCTTAACTTTCTTTCACTCAGTAAAATTGGCTTGTTCACTGAGAATGATTTAGTACTACAGGAACTCAAATGACATGGCATGTTGGGACAGATCTTTTAGTTACTTTGCCCTTAGAACAAGCTGTATACACGTCACAACAAAATGTACAGTCCCAGTCATGCAAATAAATTCCTTCAAGACAGCTCTTGTAAAAGTACTTACACTAACCAGTCCTTGTGAAATGTTCAACTGCACTGATATTTTGTGTTCACAGTAGAGGATGAGTACCTGTTCTGTTCTGGCCATTCTCATGACTCGGCGCTGGGACCGTCCGCTTCCCAACCATTGGGCCGGGTGGAGTCCCACCACTCTAGCTTGTCCTCAGGGCTGGGAGAGAGAAGCCAGGCTAACAAACTACACGGTGAGACCTCTGAGTTGATTTGTGTTTGGCACTTTGAACGGTAGCAAACTCTGGGCCTAATTTCATAGAACTTCCGAGGACAGTGTTTTAACATTTTCTTCTGTGCTGTCGTCACTATTGGATGTTTAAAGGTTTCTAATGACATTGTTCGGGACTGTTTTCATATTTTTAGGCTTCTATTTTGAGGTGACCTCTTTTTTGTTGGATTTTGTGCCACAGGGGGTCAGTTGAGCAACCGACATTCAGCAGCAGCGTCTGAGACCTCCAGTCATCGTAGTGGCCCTGAAACCATCCCAGCATTTGTAGGGGTCTGGAGTGACTCACTGCCAACTGACATGCCGGGGAGCAGGTCCTCAACCAGCCACTCCAACCGTCAGAGCCGGAGTAGTGAGCCGGGCTGGTCGCTGGATGAGGACGCCAAGCGGGATGCCGGCAGCCAGTCCTCAGGCTCTCGGCCCACCTCGCGCCACCTGACACGGATTGACACCCAGGCCATCCAGGCTGAGATAGCCGGCAAGGACGTGCCCACCCCACTGCTGAGCGCCCTTTGCAACGACCGCTCACTGCAGATGATGCAGCAGCAGCAGATGATGATGGGAGGGGATGAGGACGAAGATGATGATGACGATGAAACCACAACTCAGGACCACAGCCACTTTGCAGACCTCGAATCCTGTCAGACACCCAGCAGTCAGAGCTCCATGCATGAAGTTCGAGCCAGTCAGGACCTGAATATGTCAGTCACTACCTTAGTCAGCCATAGCTCTGTTGATTCGGACATGCATGGCCCCGGGGCGGAGCGCTTCCACATCAACTCTTCCAGTCTGGTTACGTCCCCTGTCCGGGAGGACTACCCTGCAGGCCTCCTGACAAAGCACCAGACTCTGAACATGCTCAACGACCTCTCAGATGCAAGGCACTACGACTCACGGTTGCCATTTGGGGAGAGCGGCAGTGACGGGCGGATCAAGTGTCAAACACTGCCCATAAAGATGAATGCTAGCGAGCAGATGCTGAGGATGGGAAGGGAACCAGCGGCCATCAAGGAGGAGTGCGTCTCTTTCTCGGCACCCAATCTGTCGCCTGGGGCTGACCAAAATGAAATCCCCATCGTGCTGTCCTGACAATGAAATGTTAGCATCTTGTTGACCTTGAGATTTGTGATTTTTGTTCCATAATGCTAATTGTACGTTTTGTTTTTACTAATTGTATCAGGTCTGCTCATCTCACTAACGGAAAGGAGAATCCTCCTATTGAAAATGTTTTTAGATGTTGGGATCTTTTAAAGACATCATGTTTCTGGCTGTAACACTCATTCTTAATCTCTCTCTTGGAGATTCAGTCATGATCTTGTCCTACATCTCTGTTGTACTTCTGATCATGTAAAAATATTCCATCACACCACCAAGCAGCAATGCTCTTCCTCATCACTTTGGTCAGTTACCAGGGAACCTGCCACAAAAATACACTGCTTGGTTGGTTGTCAGTGCCGTGATGCCAAACAGAGAAATATTCGGCAGTCGGCTCTCTGTTCTTTCCTTCGCTTCCCCCGTCATCTGCAGTAAACCTTTACAGTCATTACTCAAACAACTCTTTGCCTGTGTTTGCAATGAAATTTCCGTTGTCATCTTTTGTTCTGTTGGAAAAGTATTGTAGCTGATTCAATTAACAAGGGTGTGAGATTTTTCTTATTGTATTTGAAAGTTCTTGTATTATCCACACCAGAGCTTAGAAAATTCCAGAAATTATTTATTTCTCCTGCCTGAAACAGTATGATGTTTATACCATATGTGTGAATGCATCAACATTCCGTCCCAGTACACATAGTTCTGTTGAATCATTTGTTCTGTTACATGTCTTAATCAGTTGTGTTGACATTAGTTGATGTCTTAACAGTTGTGTTGACATTAGTTGATGTCTTAATCAGTTGGGGTGACATTAGTTGAAGAATTATTCTCCTTACTGTGAAAACATGCAGGTAAATTAAGGAAGCTATGTGTGGAAGCTTATATGGATATCAGTGTCTTCTCAACGAGTGATGAGTGAACACACAAAATATTATCTGTGCCAGATGCTCCGAGGATGTTAAACAGGCCACGGTAATTTCTATGTGCAGTAGCGGAACATATTTACAATCATCCCACACATGAGCAATTTCCCTTTTAGTTTAACTCACATAGAGGGTCAAATTACATGCAGTCCGTGGAGGTTGAACTTGTATGGAGCCCTCAAGTGTCCATGTACCTCGACCGAGCATGTTGGCAAATATTGCTCCCTAACAATGTCTCAGAGCGCGTCAAAACAATTCACGGTTTCATTTGAAATTTCACACAAATCTTGAACAGATGACCACCAGGGGGGATCAACTATAGTAAAGTAACCAGAGCCCAAATTTGCAATGGACCTGAACTTTGTAGCATCTTGTTTAAACAAGGTAGTATTTTTGGCCAAAAATAATATCTCCCTTGGGACATGTTCATTGTCCACAATTGATAAACATGCAGGGGTGTGCAAGATTTTAAATGACTGTTTTATGTAAGTGTAGTCATCTCGTAAATGTATCAGAAATCAGTGTTGGTCAAGTTTTTTTTGAAGTCTGATAAGTATTCTTGACTGCTTGACACCAGCATTATTTTGTGAGAGGTGGCTAGAGTTGAAGGGTCAAAGTAAAGTTCAACTTCACAAATACTGACTGTTGAGAGTCGTATTTGTGTGATACTTCCATTACTTCATCTTTGGCAATGCTCTGAGACCCAACCATGGAGCGATTTTAGTTATAACAGGCTGTGTACAGTGACCGTGCTCAGTTACAACACAGTCTACCTCCACGGACTTGTGGACTCCACATGCTCAATCTCAGTGCCAACCCCTGAGACATGTATGATGTATGCGCATCCACTGCCAGAGATTTGGGGGAAAGCTCAACTTTTCAGCATGCCACCTGAGCGTACACAGTGCCAGATAGCATTTACACGTCTTCTGTGAAACTGCCGTTGAGGAACAAGAGATGGAAGATCAAAGCCAGTATTCCACACCAGACTTGTGACTGTGAGGGGGACAGGATTTGTGATGCTACAGTATTTAGGTGCTTCGAGTGTTGAATATTTGAATGATCATTGAAATCTTCCTTTTCCCAGTCAACGTTGCATCTGTTTAATGTGATGGTTGCATGTGTCAACAAACAGAATAACTTTGTTTTTTTCTGAACTTTAATGGAAATGGTTGGATTTGAAATGTGCCGCTTTGAGCCCTATTCTACTTGGTCCGCCGTTACAAAGGCAGTAAGTGCTAATGGGCATATATGATGTACAAACGGAAGTTGTTTTTCAACTGTGTTGTCTTTGTTATGATCTTGATACTTGGATAGTTTGTTTTCCTCTGATAAACAGCATTTTACAGTTTAATAATTTGTGGTAAAACCTCCCAGTGCTAAGCTCTACGTTGGTACATTGTTGATGAATATGCAAACACCAGATATCCTACTGTTGTCAGAGTGGAAGGCTTGTCTGAATGGGCAATTTTGTGGCTACGGCTACAGCTTCGTCATACACAAGCTGTAGCAAATGTCCACAGCCAGTTGCAGATAACCAGGATCCCCATTAGCCATTTTTAATTTGCTACATTCTGATAATTCGACTGCTTGAAAGTGAAATGGTTTTGGTCACACATGCATTATTATTTAGCTTCCCATTCATTCCAATGTTACCTGTTCCATCACTGCAGAGGCAAAAGTAATGATAAACACAACCAGACTCGTAAGCTCAAAAGAAGAGAGGAGCTGTTTCAACAGTCCCCCAAAGTCGTCTGTATAGGTGTATATTTGTGACATTCTAAAATCTCATATTTCTGACAATCTAAATTACTCAAAGTTCTCAAGTGCCTTTGTTCAGCTTCCAGGTTGTACATTCTTGTTGAGAAGGAGCAGGTATAGCTATGTTTTTCTTAGGTTTGTGATCAACTTGGCTGCACGCAGCAACATTCTCATTAACCATGCAAAAGGGTACAACATAAAAATAAGTTCTTTTACATAATAAATACTCAACCCCTCAACAAGCTAATCACGGGCCACATATTTTGCTACCATATCGCCCCCCTTTTGGCTCTGTTGTGCACTCAATTTTTAGAGGCACTGACATTATTTTGCTCTTGCATGTACTGCCATATTGCTGCCAAAGTGAGGCTGAACGGGCAAAACACACTCAGCAGGAGCCTATTTCACGGAGCTTCCAAGTTCAGATGTTTGCTTAGCACCGAAAATATGCACTTAGCAAAACTGATCCCTAGGCCACAGTGCCTTGAGATGTTGATTACTCGTTGGTGGTTCGAGGCAGGGTTTTGCTACATTTGTGCCGATATTTGCTAAGCAGTATTTTTTCCAGCTGACTCCCTCTGTGAAATTTGGCTCAGTTTACTCAACTGCTCAATAAGGCCACTGGAAGGCTGTGTCCGACCTCAACTTTCCAGCAGCTGAGAGTAATACTCCCACCTATTGGAAGTGGTCATGACTGCTAGCCTGTGGCCTCCGTAGGCTCAAGTATTATTTTTAGAATGCAGGCCTAACTTTTGGACATGGCGCAAGAATCAATCCAGCAGGAGATGCTGGTCCAGCCTCTTTTTCAACCAAACTGGGCAGATAGCCCACAAAAAGCAAGCTGATGCCTGATGGCAATTTCCATTGAAGTGTGCACCATATTGTCAAAACTTTGGGGGGGGATTATGAATGAATGTACCACCTACTTATTACTTTGCAGTTGTTTGGCTGTCCACAAACATACTTTGTATTAATTAATTGCACCAGTTAAGTGGCCCTAATATTTAAATTATTGTGAAAAATCTCTGTTTGCACTGCAGTACTCACAGTACGTAGCAGTTAATTGTTTCTGCCAGAGACCTAGACCCCATGGCAGCCCTTAACAAAGATCTGTTATACACCACTTTGTGCCGTGAAATTGGTTGTTGCGTCCTCAGTGTTACTGTGTTATCCCTGTCAGTATTCAATGGTAAAATTTTAACTGACCATTGTAATGATTGTGGTATTTTGTTTTCATTTCAATTTCAACATGCAGATAAACATCACACAGGGTTTGTACAGACTTTTGAGTTGTTTGTATACGATTTTTAACAAGAGTAACCAACATTCTTCTTAAGTCATTTAAAAACAAGGCAAGAAATGTATGCCTTTTTGATGGAATGGCATATTTTATGATATTTTCCTGCAATATACCTATATTTTTATCATAATAATGTGTTGTTTTGCAGAACCGAGACGCTGCAGCTATGAGCATTATAAACTCTCATATATAATCAGTGTACGGTCTAACAAGTTTGTAATGCTTTGCTGTATTGTTCGAGCAGATGTGTTTTATATTATCATTTACAAAAATTATAATAAACCAGATATCATGGAGAACTAATGTTGAGAGCTTTTCTGTTTTTCTTTTGTTGGTTTGTGGGAGTAGCGTTTTGGATGCATTTACCCACCAAGGATCAGGCTCCTATCTTCTGGGAAGTGGTTAGTGTTGTATTTGGGGTTTTTCGTTTGTTTTTGTTTTTTCGGTGTTTTGTTTTGCTGCTTTGTCTTGTCTGGGGACACAAGACATGGGGTTCGACTGGATACAAAACATTTTTTCCCGTGCGTGTGTAACCTGGAAAAAAGACACACAATGGGGGAACTCGCGAAAACCAACATGAACCAGGGATCAAAAGAAAGAGTCGCAGGATATTCTCAAAAAGAAATGACAAAGGAAGATCAAATTTGATTTCAACAAGAAAAGAACAACAAAAAAATATTTATTTCACTGTGAACAGAGTAGAAAAAAAATCCAAAACAAACCTCTCAATTAGAACCAGTGATTTTGGCTGAGTTTCTTAAATGTATGGACTAGGAAATGTACTCAACTCGTAACCAATTAACTTAAACCAACAATACTGCTTAAACCAAGACAAATGCCAACCAGTACCAACACAGACTTAAATTATTACCCAACACGGACTTAAATTATTAACCAACACGGACTTAAATTATTAACGGACACGGACTTAAATTTTTAAACGACACGAACTTAAGTTATTAACCAACACAGCACTAGTAAATAGTCGCAAAATTAAAGCAATCACGCAAGAAACCAAGTTCACAGCAGACCAAAGCTGAAGGCAGAAGTTGCTTAGTAAAAAAAAGAGAGAGCGGTTAATGTGGATGCTGTGGTCTCTCTTGCTGCCGGTCCGCATCTGACTATCTCGAAGGAACTCACATGCATCAGGTCTTGTGCAATATAGGGCATGACAGGGTGTTTACTCTGGGGATTATTTTGGAAAGGGGGGGAACCACTCCTAGCAAATTCAGGGCAAGCTAACAAGAAATTCAATGTTAAAAGCAGGGGGACAACTCCTATATACAAGCAGGTAAGCAAAAACAACTAAGTGAAAAGAGTCCCCTCTACACGTGAAATTCTTTTCAATTCTGTTCGTTTCACTTGCCTTATACGCTCTAGTTTTTGCACGTGGACGGCTGGTTGTTCTCATCCCAGAGAGGGCGCTGTTTTCAATGCCATACGTCGTCTGCAGTTTATAACAAGCGTGTTGTCAGTGTCGCGTCTGTATCTGCAGACCACGTAGATAATTTGTAACAAGTAAGTTCAAGACATTTGGAGACTTTTGTAGAAACTCAAAGGTGCTCTAGGTTTTTCTGGAAGTAGGATTTCCATTCTTTTCATTTGGCCATTTAAAGTAGGAATGTATACAGCAAACCCATCACAGGGTGTACTGTCAGTGTCACGAAAAGAACACACACATGAGCACCAACATGCCAACGTAACGTTCTTGCTTTAGGCCCAATCAGCTTTAAAATGGGCGCTTGACATACATGGACATAAGTTTACACCCTGTTCATAATGAGACTAGTCTAAAAAAGATTCTTTTTTAAGTTAACGATTCAATATTCCACTGCTAAATTTGACTTTTTAGGACATGTCAGGTGACATGTTATATATATTTAATATTTGTTATTTATATGTTATTATAAATAATAAACCACTGCAAAGGAAAATAAGTGATGTCCTCATATTTTCTTACTGAAAAATGGGACAGTCTGGAATACATGTAGAATTCTTTTACAATGACACAAGTTGGGTATGATTCCGACAGCTTAGCTTCAGGGTTTTTGATACCGAGCATTTTTTTTCAAGGATGAATTTTTTTATATAGCCCAGGCCAAGGTTGCTAGATAAATTATTGCTGTACTTTAATAATTATAGTATCCAAGTACCCAGAAAAATCCATATATGGACATAGTCCAAGTAACTTGGAATCCACAAATTGCGTGTTTTTTAAACATGCGGACAAATCGCCCAACCATGTCTGAATGCTTAAAAAGGCAATTTGTAGAGTCCAAGTTGCTCAAACTAATATAGTCTTTTGGAAGTATTTTATTATGCAAGTGAATATTTCTGTATTTCACCGCTAAAGTTAACTTTTTGGACATTTTATTACTTTCACTACATGTTACAGCTCACTGCAGGGAAATATTAATGAGCCCCCCATTTTTCTACTTGGGGATAATGCCCTCCCCCATTGCAGGTACCAGTATGTCCTTTAATGGCTGATACATACATGTACACCTGATGGTCTCACAATTATATGCACCCACCCAGCACTTACGGTATTTTCTCCCTTCCCATCTTTGTAATCCAGTGGAAGGTTTTGGATAATTTTGAAGGATCTCTTAGAAAGTGAAAATCCAGTCAGTTACTTTCATGCTTGGAAACTGAACTAAGAAGGTACCCTTGAGTCATGTTTATTTTGAGATGGGATTCAGTCAGGTTCTTATAACAAATTCCTACATGTAAGTAGTTAGTGTTGAGGAGCATTTTATTCAACATTTTTCTCAGCAATTAATATTGTAAATATTAGTGGCATATACTTTATTAATATCTAGCTGCTCATCTGTTTCTTGAACTTTCTCTGAAAAAACCAAAGTCATGAGAGCCTCGGCAAGATACGTCCATCAGTGGCAACAACGTAATAGTCAGCTGATGCATCATCATGGATGGGAAAGGCACACTCATCATATTTCAAGGTTAATCTCGCAGAGACGCCACAGTAGTAGCGAGAAGGAAAGTGGGAGTTCTGACCAGCCAACTGCCAAGAGGCAAGCCCAGGAGAATGTTCATCATGGACAGAGGCTGGTGGACCACTACTCGTGGATGCAGCAATCTGGAATAACTCCGGTAGGTCAGGGGTAAATGGTTGTTACTGGTTGTCCTAAATGTAGCAGTGTAGTTGGGCTGGCCCAACTATAGTCAGCAAATTTCTGCGGAAATTTTCTCAAAAATTCTCAAAGCTTTTGTGACAAACACCCAATAGAATTCATCCAAAATATGTCAGTGTGGCATTTCATTCATAACACAAATGAAAACCAGATTCTGCTAACGTGAGTGATGGACATAAATGAAATGGTGTTGGCACCTTACAGTTAGGCTGGCCTAACCATCCCGACTGTAATTTTGACAAGTGCAATACTTTGGGTGCTTGTGGAGTGACTGGGTTCAAGTCAAAGTCACAAGTCTGTTTGGGTTGGCGTATGTAAGTCCTACATGTAAGTCACTTGGTTAAGTTTTGAGTCTGATTCACTGGTTTCTGATATGCCAAGATCTGGTTATTTGACTATAGTCCAAGTCACCAGACACCTGGGCCCAATCTCACAGAGCTGCTTAAGTGTTAGCAGAAAAGTCACGCTCACTAAAGCGGAGACATTTGCTGACCTGTGTCCCTTGGCCTGGTTGTGCTTATGATTGCGTGCGCATTAGAGAGTTTCATTTCTGGGTCACTACGTTCAATTAAGCATGCCTTTTGCCATGCTTGCTGCATACTCCACATGAAATACACAGAGACTCCATTAGCACAAAATCGTGTGCTTAGCAGTGCCGTGAAATCGGAGGCAGGTTGCATTGGGGCTACCTTGTTCAAGCCTACATGTAGCTTCAAATTTGAGTCTGACTTGTGGGGCAGTAATCATTTAGATTGAAATACCACTGTCAGTGGCATTGTTGCCAAGTATTAAACAGATATTTACAAATTTTTGCTGTACTCCTGAGCAGTTGGTGACCAAAATTGTTCTGCTCAGTGCACACAAAAAGGAAAGTGGTTGCAAAAAAGTGCATGTAGCTGAATTTTGGGCTGCTTTTTAAAATTTGCAAGATGGAACCAAGAATAGGTTGTTCTGTACATTGAACAGATACATGTGCATATACATGTACATACATGTACATGTACCTGCCATATCCTATCCTGAATATCAATAATCAAGAGAGTGTGATTGTAAATTCCAGAAAAGTGTTATTTACAGTGCCATATTGGAGTTTTTGCTGACAACAGTTGAGTGGTCAAAATTGCCAAACAGATGGACTTGAGTCGATGCCCTAGACCAGAGTCATTTGACTCAAGCAAACCTTGTACATTTCTGTGCCTCCACTGTGATAAAAAAATGGCTTGACTGACCACTCCTGCTGGGGATATCGATTAAGGAGACCTCTAATGAAGATATCTGATCGGAGAAATTTTTGAAAAATTTTAGTCCATACAGTCCATAGATTAAGTTTACCCTTTCCCTTCAAGATCTGACATTTTGGTTTCTTTTTAATGCCCTAACAATGAGTTGTGTAGGATAAATGTGCACAGCTACAGAACACAAGTGAAATTCAAAATTTAAAACAAGTGTTTTCATGATTAGTAAGTCAGTCTTTGAAATCTTGTTTACTTTAACAATTGCCTCTCTTCTATGTCAAATGCAGGATGTCAGAAGCTATGTTGATCAGGAAACAAGGTAAATTTTTTTGTTTTAGTGTGATGCTTTATAGTACACTTAAACATTTTCTAAGCATTGATAAGAATATCTTGTGGTTTTGTTTTGGCTGCACCATTGTTATCATAAATACCTCCTGGTATGAATGAAATGTTGAGGTTGATGGCAACATTGATGCAAGAGACCCAGTCCTTCCAGTCACAGATCTTGAAACAACTTGAAGAATTCAAGAATATCTACAAAACAAACGAGATGCCAATTGTAAGTTTAGTTTAAATGTTCTCATTTTGGCCTTTATTAAAGACCTTCAAGCTGATCTTATGCAGCCTTTTTGGTTTATTTTGAAAAGAGCAGGGTGATTCGAGAACAGAGCACCTGAAGGCATACCAATTTGAACAAGTTCAGTGAATATTATTGTTAAATTATTATAATTTTCAGTACTGTACAGCCCTATCACTATCAATACATGTTGCTTGCTCTCTCACTTTTAAGTTCAAAGAATTTGTTGACTTGGCACATCCAGTAAGATTCCTAATCTTGATTGAGAAATTTCTTTTCTTGGGGGGGTGGAAGGTTGGGTTGTTATGTGTAGTGTGCATGGCCCTGATAGCATGCATTCTAGCCAGCGATGGGAATGTTTCTGATTAGGATTTCATTATTGTACCCTGCTTGTAGGTGATGAATGGGACTGTGTACTTCCGGAGGTCAGACGGTGATTCCTGGCAATATTACAGAAGAAGGTCTTCAGGTGAGGGAATATTGAGAATGACATTTGGACTTTCTTTGCTGTCTGGCATCTTGATGGTTACCCTACATATTGTCACTGTCATGGTCATCCAGGTGAAAAAAGAGGCATTTGGCTTGGATATGTTAGCACTGTGTGTATTGAGATTTCTGCTGGGATATTCATTCATATCTGTAGGCTTAGAGTCCTGTTTACCGTGGCTCTGGTGTATATCGTTTCTTCAGACCCGCTGGTTTCTGTGTTTTATTTGGCACTCATACCAGTATAAATTGGAAATCATTGTTCAAGATCTCTGTACAGCCAGCAATTTACCTTGTTTTCTCCTGACATATTGTCTCTGCTAAATCAGCAAAGGTTTGCAAAAAGTCTGAGATTGTCATCATTAAGAAATTTTGGCCATTGTAGCTCCTTGTACCAAAAGAGTACCCTCTTTCACCCTACTAGACCTGCCTGCCCCTTCCTACAGCTCCAGACAAGTGTATCATTAGTTAAATTTTCATTTTCCTAAAGTGAAAAGTAATGGCGGTGCTGCAGCAGAGCACATTTTGGACACTGCTATGCTCACAGAGATGTACGGTCATCCCGTTGCCCTAGCAACAATGAAGATATCCCCAGACCAGAAGTACATGGCGTTTGTCGTTGAAACGACAGCAGCGGATACCTACGATGCCCACATTATTGACATGGGAAAGGATGGAGTTGTGTTTGTTGACAGGCTGAACCACATTTTATCTGTTGGTAAGTGTCCTGCACCAATGCTTAAGCATTTGTCTGCAGTGCAATTTGTAAAAGCTTGCCTAATTGTGAAACAAGATTACTCGCAAGGCAATGTTGTATTTCCATTTAAATTCCAGTAAGTTTGTGAGACCTACGGAGGGTACTCTACGTCCATGGTTACATAAGTCATATGAGTGCAGATTGTGCAGATGCTTTTGATTACATGTATCAGTATGTCCAAGAGCATCAAAAGTCAAGCACAGTAGCAAATGGCAGAGTGCCAACATTTGCAGCTGAATGTGCACAAATCGGTGAGATATCCGCATGACTAGAAGACACCTCTATATAACACCAAAAAAATTGGCACTGGATCAGCTGATACACCTTTGTCGCCTGTTTGTTGTTTGAACAAGCCACTTGTTGCAAAGAGCTCTTCACAATCTGACTGGTAAAATTCCTTAGAGTTTGCACACCACGGAGTCATGTACTACACCAGGATGAAGGGACTGAGAGCTGCCCAAGTCTGGAGGCATCAAATTGGTCAAAATGTGTCCAAAGATAAGATGGTAGTGGAGGAACTTGATGAACGGTGAGGTTTGTAAATAATTTGTGTACTTCAACCGTTAAGTTACTCGTTCCCCTGACCCAAACCGTTTGGGTTTTGTGAGTTCTTGAGGGTTGCTCAACTGCAAAGCCCACTCACTGAAGGTTACCTTACAGTGGCATTGAGGTTCCAGTTGTGTTGAAGTTTGATGTTACAACTACCAGAGAAACACTGCTAACATGACATTTTAATGACACCCCTTATTACTGTGTTTTATGTCATTAGATCTTTCTCTGCCTCGGCAGGGTTAAATTGCTACTAATGTGTGAACTACCAAAACTCCTGTTTCCATCAGATTCTTCCTGGACTTGTCCCACACCAAGGACAGACTCTATGTCACCGTCAACCATAACTCTGCCACTACCTCTGAGGTCCGTTTGCTGGACAGCCGTCACCCAGATCCCTCCCTCCCTGCTCCAGTTGTCCCCAGGCAAGCTGGTGTGCAGTACTTTGTGGAGCATAGCCAGGGTGTGCTGTACATCTTGACCAATGCTGGCGATGAGGAATACAGAGTGAGAACAGCAGTAAAAATAGCTGACATGAAATGTGGCAGACGTCACAAGAGATTAATTCCAAGTTGTGATTTGTGCTGTTTGGGTTCCTTTTAGAATCCAACTCTAGCTTCCTGTTTAAAGTCAGTTTCAAGTCAGATAGAGCTCAGCAACTAGTACTTTCCGAAGGGCATGACACCCCTTGAAAAGAACAGAAATCATGCCATTGACTGCCTTTACACTGGAGAGTTTGGGAGGACATGGGTATGTTCCTGGTAAATATGTCATGGGAGTTAGACGGGTTCCT